CCCATCCCAAGCTTTGCCACGCGGCTGACTGACTGCGGCCACCTTTAGGCGACTATCCCGCACCATTTCACGGTTGCGTTTCGTTAATACGAGCTTTGTGCAAGTGTTTGACTTCTCCCGTAACGCAGATTTCTATTTGCCCCACGTAAGCTCCGGTCACTTTACGCGGTGCTTTTGACGTCCAGTGACGGTGGTAGCTCTGCTCCCATTTGTTTTATCTTTCTGGCTCTATTGTTGCTTTTCTTCAAACCCATTCGTGATTTTAGGGGTGACCCACCCAAGTCACCGATCTCTCTCTGTCTCCCGCGCTCTCGCCGGGTTCAATGAGAAGAACAAAACAACTTAGCACGCAATTGCGGCCTGGCTTTTCCGCGGCCATGATTAGCGGTTCATCATACATTTTCGGGTCAGAGCCATGCGGCAGCGATTCTAGGCGGGCCGGCAAATTATTTCAGTGGAAAAAGGCCCTCCCGTTGCCCGTATGGCAGAGGCGGCAGCGGAGGGGGGGGAAGGGCGAGCGCCGTGACAGTCACCATCATCGTCGCCGCTTCAGCTCTCTCACCGGGGCGAGTCGACGTGCAATTCCTTCTCAGTTATGCGGCGTTTTAGCGTCCAAGCTGCCAGGGCGGGCACCTTCAGGACGAGATGCGGAAAAAGTCAACGGTTCGCGGTCCACCAATCAAAACGAAACAAAAGCTCGAGAGCTGAAGACGCCCGTGGTGATGAAGTTTAAAGCTTGACGGAGGAGGAGGGAGAGGAGGAATCTCTCGACACGAGGCCGAACGGAGGACGAGCACGCGTGGGGTTATCTGTCGTCAAGTTGCTCGCGCGCACCCCTCTTCTCGTCTTTATTATTTGAACCGATGTGGCCGAGCGCACTGCGACGGTTTTACCGCAGCACGGTCTTGAGCTCGTGGCTCACGAAGGAGAAGCCGGAGAAGGTGTCCTGGTCCATAGAGTCGATGAGGTTGCGGTCTCCCCGCGAGAGCCGAGGTTTCTCCTGCAGGAACTCTTTGTCAAAGTTGCTCCAGTCTCCGGGGGAGCCCTGGGGAGGGGGGGGTGGGGGGGGGGGGTGCACGCACACACGCACATGGACAGGCAGACACGTACACACGCACGCACACACATGCACGCACACACACGTAGACAGACACATACACACACACGTACACGCACACATGCATACACATGCGCACACGCATGCACACACATACACATGCACACACAGGTCAGCATGGCACAAGAGGATGTGGTGTAAGGCCAGAACCACGCCCGGCCGCCTTTATCTCCCCAGTGCCGTTGATTATACATCGCAGTGAAGCTGAGGACCGGTTCAGATAATCGTCACATATGTTGGGCCGTGAGCGGAAATCGAACGCTGGCCGCCGGGGTTCGTAGCACACTGCAGCGCTAACCGCTGCACCACCACTCCCCACCGTGTCATGCTACGAACGATCTCCCAACGTGACTCTTCCAACGATCTCCCCACCGCGACACTCTACTAACGATCTCCCCACCACGTCCCTCTACCAACAATCTCCCCACCACGTCACTCTACTAACAATCTCCCCACCACGTCACTCTACTAACAATCTCCCCACCACGTCACTCTACTAATGATCTTGGCACCACGTCACTCTACCAACGATCTCCCCACCACGTCACTCTACCAACAATCTCCCCACCACGTCACTCTACTAACAATCTCCCCACCACGTCACTCTACCAACAATCTCCCCACCACGTCACTCTACAAACAATCTCCCCACCACGTCACTCTACCAACAATCTCCCCACCACGTCACTCTACTAACAATCTCCCCACCACGTCACTCTACAAACAATCTCCCCACCATGTCACTCTACCAACAATCTCCCCACCACGTCACTCTACCAACAATCTCCCCACCACGTCATTCTACTCACGATCTCCCCACCACGTCACTCTACCAACAATCTCCCCACCACATCACTCTACCAACAATCTCCCCACCACATCACTCTACCAACAATCTCCCCACCACGTCACTCTACCAACAATCTCCCCACCACGTCACTCTACCAACAATCTCCCCACCACATCACTCTACCAATAATCTCCCCACCACGTCACTCTACCAACAATCTCCCCACCACATCACTCTACCAACAATCTCCCCACCACATCACTCTACCAACAATCTCCCCACCACATCACTCTACCAACAATCTCCCCACCACGTCACTCTACCAACAATCTCCCCACCACATCACTCTACCAACAATCTCCCCACCACATCACTCTACCAACAATCTCCCCACCACATCACTCTACCAACAATCTCCCCACCACATCACTCTACCAACAATCTCCCCACCGCGTCACTGTACCAACAATCTCCCCACCACGTCACTCTACCAACAATCTCCCCACCACGTCACTCTACCAACAATCTCTCCAGCATGTCATTCTAATAACATCTCCCCACCACGTCACTCTACCAACGATCTCCCCACCACGTCACTCTACCAACAATCTCCCCCACCACGCTACCAACAATCTACCAACAATCTCCCCACCACGTCACTCTACCAACGATCTCCCCACCACGTCACTCTACCAACGATCTCCCCACCACGTCACTCTACCAACAAATCTCCCCACCACGTCACTCTACCAACAATCTCCCCACCACGTCACTCTACTAACAATCTCCCCACCACGTCACTCTACCAACAATCTCCCCACCACGTCACTCTACTAACAATCTCCCCACCACGTCACTCTACTAACAATCTCCCCACCACGTCACTCTACTAATGATCTTGGCAACACGTCACTCTACCAACGATCTCCCCACCACGTCACTCTACCAACAATCTCCCCACCACGTCACTCTACCAACAATCTCCTCACTGCGTCACTCTACTAACGATTTCCCCACCACGTCACTCTACCAACAATCTCCCCACCACGTCACTCTACCAACAATCTCCCCACCACGTCACTCTACCAACCAATCTCCCCACCACGTCACTCTACCACAATCTCCCCACCACGTCACTCTACCAACAATCTCCCCACCACGTCACTCTACCAACAATCTCCCCACCGCGTCACTCTACCAACAATCTCCCCACCACGTCACTCTACCAACAATCTCCCCACATAGTCACTCTACTAACAATCTCCCCACCGCGTCACTCTACCAACAATCTCCCCACCACGTCACTCTACTAACAATCTCCCCACCACGTCACTCTACCAACGATCTCCCCACCACGTCACTCTACCGACAATCTCCCCACCACGTCACTCTACCAACAATCTCCCCACCACGTCACTCTACTAACAATCTCCCCACCGCGTCACGCTACCAACAATCTCCCCACCACGTCACTCTACCAACAATCTCCCCACCACGTCACTCTACCAACAATCTCCCCACCACGTCACTCTACTAACAATCTCCCCACCACGTCACTCTACCAACAATCTCCCCACCACGTCACTCTACTAACAATCTCCCCACCGCGTCACTCTACCAACAATCTCCCCACCACGTCACTCTACCAACAATCTCTCCAGCATGTCATTCTAATAACATCTCCCCACCACGTCACTCTACCAACGATCTCCCCACCACGTCACTCTACCAACAATCTCCCCACCACGTCACTCTACCAACAATCTCCCCACCACGTCACTCTACCAACGATCTCCCCACCACGTCACTCTACCAACAATCTCCCCACCACGTCACTCTACTAATGATCTCCCCACCACGTCACTCTACTAACAATCTCCTCACTGCGTCACTCTACCAACAATCTCCCCACCACGTCACTCTACTAACAATCTCCCCACCGCGTCACTGTACCAACAATCTCCCCACCACGTCACTCTACTAACAATCTCCCCACCACGTCACTCTACCAACAATCTCCCCACCACGTCACTCTACCAACAATCTCCCCACCACATCACTCTACTAACAATCTCCCCACCACGTCACTCTACCAACAATCTCCCCACCGCGTCACTGTACCAACAATCTCCCCACCACGTCACTCTACTAACAATCTCCCCACCACGTCACTCTACCAACAATCTCCCCACCACGTCACTCTACCACAATCTCCCCACCACGTCACTCTACTAACAATCTCCCCACCACGTCACTCTACCAACAATCTCCCCACCACGTCACTCTACCAACAATCTCCCCACACGTCACTCTACCAACAATCTCCCCACCACGTCACTCTACCAACAATCTCCCCACCACGTCACTCTACAAACAATCTCCCCACCACGTCACTCTACCAACAATCTCCCCACCACGTCACTCTACCAACAATCTCCCCACCACGTCACTCTACTAACAATCTCCCCATCACGTCACTCTACCAACAATCTCCCCACCGCGTCACTGTACCAACAATCTCCCCACCACGTCACTCTACTAACAATCTCCCCACCACGTCACTCTACCAACAATCTCCCCACCACGTCACTCTACTAACAATCTCCCCACCACGTCACTCTACTAACAATCTCCCCACCACGTCACTCTACCAACAATCTCCCCACCACGTCAATCTACTAACAATCTCCCCACCACGTCACTCTACCAAAAATCTCCCCACCACGTCACTCTACAAACAATCTCCCCACCACGTCACTCTACCAACAATCTCCCCACCACGTCACTCTACTAACAATCTCCCCACCACGTCACTCTACCAACAATCTCCCCACCATGTCACTCTACTAACAATCTCCCCACCACGTCACTCTACTAACGATCTCCCCACCACGTCACTCTACCAACAATCTCCCCACCATGTCACTCTACTAACAATCTCCCCACCACGTCACTCTACTAACGATCTCCCCACCACGTCACTCTACCAACAATCTCCCCACCACGTCACTCTACCAACAATCTCCCCACCACGTCACTCTACCAACAATCTCCCCACCATGTCACTCTACCAACGATCTCCCCACCACGTCACTCTACTAACAATCTCCCCACCACGTCACTCTACCAACAATCTCCCCATCACGTCACTCTACTAATGATCTCGGCACCACGTCACTCTACCAACGATCTCCCCACCATGTCACTCTACCAACAATCTCCCCGCCACGTCACTCTACTAACAATCTCCCCACCACGTCACTCTACCAACGATCTCCCCACCACGTCACTCTACCAACAATCTCCCCACCACGTCACTCTACCAACAATCTCCCCACCACGTCACTCTACTAATGATCTCCCCACCACGTCACTCTACTAACAATCTCCCCACCACGTCACTCTACTAATGATCTCCCCACCACGTCACTCTACCAACGATCTCCCCACCACGTCACTCTACTAACAATCTCCCCACCACGTCACTCTACTAACAATCTCCCCACCACGTCACTCTACTAACAATTTCCCCACCACGTCACTCTACTAATGATCTCCCCACCACGTCACTCTACTAACAATCTCCCCACCACGTCACTCTACTAACAATCTCCCCACCACGTCACTCTACAAATGATCTTGGCAACACTTCACTCTACCAACGATCTCCCCACCACGTCACTCTACCAACAATCTCCCCACCACGTCACTCTACCAACAATCTCCCCACCACGTCACTCTACCAACAATCTCCCCACCACGTCACTCTACCAACAATCTCCCCACCACGTCACTCTACCAACAATCTCCCCACCACGTCACTCTACTAACAATCTCCCCACCACGTCACTCTACTAACAATCTCCCCACCACGTCACTCTACTAACAATCTCCCCACCACGTCACTCTACTAATGATCTTGGCAACACGTCACTCTACCAACGATCTCCCCACCACGTCACTCTACCAACAATCTCCCCACCACGTCACTCTACCAACAATCTCCTCACTGCGTCACTCTACTAACGATTTCCCCACCACGTCACTCTACCAACAATCTCCCCACCACGTCACTCTACCAACAATCTCCCCACCACGTCACTCTACCAACAATCTCCCCACCACGTCACTCTATCAACAATCTCCCCACCACGTCACTCTACCAACAATCTCCCCACCACGTCACTCTACCAACAATCTCCCCACCACGTCACTCTACCAACAATCTCCTCACTGCGTCACTCTACTAACGATTTCCCCACCACGTCACTCTACCAACAATCTCCCCACCACGTCACTCTACCAACAATCTCCCCACCACGTCACTCTACCAACAATCTCCCCACCACGTCACTCTACCAACAATCTCCCCACCACGTCACTCTACTAACAATCTCCCCACCACGTCACTCTACCAACAATCTCCCCACCACGTCACTCTACTAACAATCTCCCCACCACGTCACTCTACCAACAATCTCCCCACCACGTCACTCTACTAACAATCTCCCCACCACGTCACTCTACCAACAATCTCCCCACCACGTCACTCTACCAACGATCTCCCCACCACGTCACTCTACCAACGATCTCCCCACCACGTCACTCTACCAACGATCTCCCCACCACGTCACTCTACCAACAATCTCCCCACCACGTCACTCTACTAACAATCTCCCCACCACGTCACTCTACCAACAATCTCCCCACCATGTCACTCTACTAACAATCTCCCCACCACGTCACTCTACCAACAATCTCCCCACCACGTCACTCTACCAACAATCTCCCCACCACGTCACTCTACTAACAATCTCCCCACCACGTCACTCTACCAACAATCTCCCCACCACGTCACTCTACCAACAATCTCCCCACCACGTCACTCTACTAACAATCTCCCCACCACGTCACTCTACCAACGATCTCCCCACCACGTCACTCTACTAACGATCTCCCCACCACGTCACTCTACTAACAATCTCCCCACCACGTCACTCTACCAACGATCTCCCCACCACGTCACTCTACCAACAATCTCCCCACCACGTCACTCTACTAACAATCTCCCCACCACGTCACTCTACTAACGATTTCCCCACCACGTCACTCTACCAACAATCTCCCCACCACGTCACTCTACCAACAATCTCCTCACTGCGTCACTCTACTAACAATTTCCCCACCACGTCACTCTACTAACAATCTCCCCACCACGTCACTCTACCAACAATCTCCTCACTGCGTCACTCTACCAACAATCTCCCCACCACGTCACTCTACTAATAATCTCCCCACCACGTCACTCTACCAACAATTTCCCCACCACGTCACTCTACCAACAATCTCCCCACCACGTCACTCTACCAACAATCTCCCCACCACGTCACTCTACTAACAATCTCCCCACCACGTCACTCTACCAACAATCTCCCCACCACGTCACTCTACCAACAATCTCCCCACCACGTCACTCTACCAACAATCTCCCCACCACGTCACTCTACTAACAATCTCCCCACCACGTCACTCTACTAACAATCTCCCCACCACGTCACTCTACTAACAATTTCCCCACCACGTCACTCTACCAACAATCTCCCCACCACGTCACTCTACCAACAATCTCCCCACCACGTCACTCTACTAACAATCTCCTCACCACGTCACTCTACCAACAATCTCCTCACTGCGTCACTCTACTAACGATTTCCCCACCACGTCACTCTACCAACAATCTCCCCACCACATCACTCTACGATTGATCTCGCCAGGTCGCGCTGCGACTGCTCACCACACGGGGCTTGAAGGGCGGCTCCAGCTCCCGCTTCTCCAGCGCTTCCCAGTTGATGGTGCGGAAGAACGGATGCTGCCGGATCTCCCCGGTGACGCCGAGTCTCTTGGTGGGTTCTCGCTCCAGAAGCTGAGAACAAAGACAAACATTCCCCTTGTAGCCTCAACGGACTGTCGGGGCAAGTGCTTTTCATAAGCGGCACCGATGTGGGCCGGCCATGGCGCTCGAAGGATTTGGTGGCCAGCACCACGCCCGGCCGCCTTTGTCTCCCTAGTGTAGATGTTTACAGACCGCACCAGATACTCATTTGAGGCCGAGTCGACCTAGTGGAGGCTCAGGAATAGTTCAGTTATTTGTCACTGGGAATTGAAGTCGTGTCACCAGGTTCATAGCGCAGCGCAATGCTATCCATTGTGCCACCGCTCTCCATGATAACACAATCATTAACCACAATTATTGGTCATATTGTATTATAATTATTGAAATTCTTCTTCTCGAAACATGAAGCCTCAGCGCCTCTCAAGGCTGTTCTTTCAGGAGTGTCCTGAAAAGTTTTCGCAGCAAGGGGGCGACGGTTGGCAGGTTTCAAAATCAGGTTGCGGTGTCATTGATTCACATCGGGACATTTGGCTCACGTCAGTTACATTGTGTGAAAACAAACGAGAACTATGGCAGGAAACCGGAGAACCTTGGGAGGAAACCCATGTGGACCAAAGGTAGAACGCACAAACTCCGCACACACGGGCGCCCAAGCCGGGAGTCGAACCCAGGTGCTTCTTGCTGAGTGTTACCGCCCTGTCGCCCGGTGATTTTCCCCCTCCACGTGAGAGTCTCGCTCACCTGTTGGGGGGGGGGGGAGCACCACCACTCACTCACCAGGGGCAGGATGTCGCGCGAGTCCTTGGTGATCCAGCGCGGGTAGTAGGGCACGCTGGTGCGGATGCTCTCGAACAGCTCCTCCTCGTCGTCACCACGGAATGGACTCTGCCCGATGAGCATCTCGTAGAGGAGGACCCCAAACGACCACCAGTCCACGGAGCAGTTGTACTTCTGTCCAATCACGATCTGCAAGGTGGCCCAGGCAGTCAGGGGGACAGAGCGCTGCGCTTGCACTGGCTGAGATGCTGGGTTGTGTTCACTCGCTCACTCGCTCGTTCAACCAGACACTATCTTACACACACACACACGTTCACCCGCTCACTTACCCGCCTGCTCACTCTCTCCCCTGCTCGTTCAACCGCTCACTCACCAACACACACCCGTTCACCCACTCACTCACCCGTTCACCCGCTTGCTCACCTGCTCATTCAACCGCTCGCTCATTCAGCCACACACACCCGTTCACTCACTCGCTCCCTCACCTGCTCACTCGCTTGCTCGTTCAACCATTCGCTCACTCACACACCCATCCACTCACCTTCTCGCTCACCCACCCAATCACCCACTCCTCCATACAATTCAACATCTCACTAGTAATCTTTTGCTCTTTGTAAAAATGAAAAATGTCTGCAGAGAAATTTTCTTTCGTTATGCCATAGACCCTCAGTGAGTCTTAAGACACGTTTTCAGGAGGGTGTTGCATTGGGGTGTTTTGGCCAAATCCCGGGTAAGAAACCGGCATGCCAGGAGGTCCCACTCACATGCAGTGATAGCACTCAGAGGCCTACACTGCTGGCTTTACCTCACCTGGTATGTATGCAGGAGGTCGTGGGTTTGATCCGACCCTGGCACCTGTATATTTGGAGTTTGCATGTCATCCCCGTGGTTGCGTGGATTTTTTTCCGGGTCCTCCGTTTTTTCCCCTCCACATTGCGAATCGTCATCAGGCATTTAGAGCGATTGGCTGCTGTAAATTTGCACGTGATAAGCCACTTCATTGAGCTGCCATTTGTGATAGCCAGGTCACTTCTGAAAAAGAACTATGTAGCAGCTCAGTGGGGCCTTACTTGGTAAAATAAAAATAGGGGGGGGGGGATAACCTACTTGCTGTGCTACCATCTCCTGGCCACCCCCACAGCCCAGTGGGAATTGGGGTTTGCACATTTGTAAAGAAGCTCCTTCGCAGGTTCCATTTTTTAGGTTATTTATTTTACAGTAACGTATTTACAAGGCGAGATTACAACTAATACATTCACAAGGCTATGATTATCTGCAGCCCCGGTGGTTCTCACTAGATTCATCTTGAATAGTCCTTCTTGATGATTTCCACCATGTAGATCTCAAACAATCCTTCTTGATATTTTCCACCATGTAGATCTCAGACAGTTCTTATTGATGGTTTCCACCATGTAGATCTCAGACAGTCCTTCTTGATGGTTTCCACCATGTAGATCTTGAGCAGTCCTTCTTGATGCTTTCCACCATGTAGATCTCGGACAGTCTTTCTTGATGGTTTCCACCATGGAGATCTCGAACAGTACTTCTTGATTGTTTCCACCATGGAGATCTCGAACAGTACTTCTTGATGGTTTCCACCATGCAGATCTCAGACAGTCCTTCTTGATGATTTCCACCATGTAGATCTTGAACAGTCCTTCTTGATGGTTTCCACCATGTATATCTCAGACAGTCCTTATTGATGGTTTCCACCATGCAGATCTCGAGCAGTCCTTCTTTATGGTTTCCACCATGTAGATCTCAGACAGTCTTTCATGGCGGTTTCCACCATTTAGATCTCGAACAGTCCTTCTTGATGGTTTCCACCATGTAGATCTCGAACAGACCTTCTTGATGGTTTCCACCATGTAGTTCTCGAACAGTCCTTCTTGATGGTTTCCACCATGTAGATCTCGAATAGACCTTCTTGATGGTTTCCACCATGTAGTTCTCGAACAGTACTTCTTGATGGTTTCCACCATGTAGTTCTCGAACAGTCCTTCTTGATGGTTTCCACCATGTAGATCTCGAACAGTCCTTCTTGATGGTTTCCACCATGTAGTTCTCGAACAGTCCTTCTTGATGGTTTCCACCATGTAGATTTCGGATAGTCCTTCTTGATGGTTTCCACCATGTAGATCTCAGACAGTCTTTCTTGATGGTTTCCACCATGTAGATATCCAACAGTCAGCCCCGATGTCGTCTACCTGCAGTCGTCCTTCAGTCCCTGGGCCAGCGCCCCGATGGCCGGCCTCGCTCCCCCTTATATACCTGCTCAGCCACACCCCGGTAACTTTCAGCACTTTCACCTGGTAGATTCTTCCAACAGACTCCACTATCTTCTACTTTCCTTGTAGAACCTTCCCTCGTACAGTACCCTGCACCTGTTTCCACCCCTCTCCACTGACCCCACGAAAACCCCTTGTCATGTTCACTACCCTGCACATCTTTGCCTCACCTCTGGGGCGATGTAGTCCGGGGTGCCGCAGAAGGTGCCGGCGCGAACATCGCCCACGATGTTCTCCTTGCACATGCCGAAGTCAGCAATCTTGACGTGGCCGTCCTTGTCCAAGAGGACGTTGTCCAGCTTCAGGTCCCTGGGGCAGAACGAGATGGGGGTGGTGGGGGGGGGGGTGTTCGTACCTCCGTGAGTCTCGCCAGGGTCTTGGAAAGTTTTCGCAGTGCGGGGGGGCGGGTGCTGTGTGCGATACTCCCAGTCGAGTCGTTTGCGCGTTAATTTTTCTAATTTGGCCAAGTTGGACCGCGGCACCGTGAATCAACCATGGTCACGTGACATTCCGGTCATCCTCGTAGCAGCAGCCGCGGCTTTTGGCTGACCATTGAATAAAGACAGGGGTAACGGCATCACGCGGTGCTTTCACCTGTGCTTCTGTAGTCGTCTGGAATGCCCTTCCTTCCGATGCTAGGAAGCCACTGGAGCTATGCACCTTTAAATCACCTAGATTGAAAACGAATTTCTTTATAACTGCTTTTTGTGTTGAGTCTGTTGTCATTCTCCCGCACCTCTGGTTAACATGGTTGGCTATGTACGGTGTGAAAGAAGTTCAACATACCTACATCAACAATGGACATACAAAGGCTTGCCAATGTCTGAATCAGAATATTTGTTTATACTGGAGCAATCCAATGAGCTATACAACGTTTTTTCACAGATTTTCCAGTAGCGACAGGAAAAAATGTTACAACAACAATCAGTACAAAAACATTATAGTAGTGCAAAGTACAAGAAAGATAAACAAATCACCCAAACACATACAAATTAAACTAAACCATCCCCACCCTACCAGATAAAGCGCACTGAGCTATTAACTTATTTTTCAGAAGCAACCTGGCCACAAATAACAGCTCAACAAAGTGGCTTATCGCGTGGACATTTAAAAGCAACAAATTAATCTAAATGCATTGGTCCCTCAGTTCACGGTCCCATCGATTAATGATATTTCGGGAAACGATTCGCCTCCCATAGGGGTCTCATTGTTTCTATTAACGATACATTTTCGATAAATGGTATGTCTTACGATGTCACGCGGCTACCAATTTCGACCAATCGGAACGCTCCCTAAGTGGACTCGGCAGACCTCAGCCAATCAGCGACCCACCCTTTTGTGAGCGTTTTTAGAGCAACTGGCTGCTCGCTTTTTAATGTTTGATGTGTGTTACTTACGGAAACAACTCTTTTGAATACTTAACATGTTCTTATAATGTTAATTTATAAAAAATGTGTGTTTAAATATTATTAGGGTTAAAGAGGTCAACTTCCGATCGTCTTGGAACACATTAAACCTTTAACGTGCATTTCCCACATTCGATTAACGATAATTTTCATTAACGACGGTGTTCGTGGTACCAATTTATATCGTCAACTGAGCGACCACTGTAATCTCAATGCATGATTCTAAATGTGAAGAGAAAAACCAGAGGACCCGGAGTAAAGAATTCACACGACCACGGGGAGAAAGACACGCAAACTCCAAATATACAGTAGGGGTCAGATTCTGGATCGAACCCATGACCTCTTGCGTACCAGGCGAGGTAGTTAATATCGTCACAGCCTCATCCGCTGCGAAGCAGCAGACCAGGATTTGAACTCGCAACCTTCCCACTTGCGGGCCGCTCGCCATGCAGCTGGGCCGTGCGTGAGGGTTCCCCCCCTCCCTTACCTGTAAATGATCCCCCGTTCATGCAGGAACTGGAGTCCGCTCACAATCTCGGCTGCATAGAACCTGCAATGAGATCGGGGGGGGGGGGGGGGGCGTATGAACGGCAGAACGACTGCGATGATGACAGCAAAGTTGAGCGGGCTGAGTGAGCTGAGTGTGTGGGGTGTGAAGAGGGGGCAATGGGTGTAAAATAGGGGGAACGCATTTGAATAGGTGAATTATAGAATGCGTTTGAGAATGAGCGTAGCAGAGGTTTTTTTGTTGGGTTAGATTGCGTGAATATAAATGTGTCGTTAAACTTGCCACCACCCGACACAACCAATCAGTAAGGGTTTGTCACATAAACATAACGTGCCAATTAGTTTACTAGTTCAGTACTAGTGTGTAGTGTAGTGTATACTGTAGTGTAGTGTATAGTGTAGTGTATAGTGTAGTGTATAGTGTAGTGTACTAGTTCAGCACACACCGGTTGTGTGCGGCAGAGTAAACCCACGACAACATTTACAATCAGTGTAGTGTATAGTGTAGTGTATAGTGTAGCATACTAGTTCAGCACACACCGGTTGTGTGCGGCAGAGTAAACCCACGACAACATTTACAATCAGTGTAGTATATAGCGTAGTTTATACGGTAGTGTATAGTGTAGTGTATAGTGTAGTGTGTAGTGTAGTGTATAGTGTAGTGTAGTGTATAGTGTAGTGTATAGTGTAGTATACTAGTACAGTACTACACCGGTTGTGTGCGGCAGAGTAAATCCACTACAACATTTACAATCAGTGTAGTGTATAGCGTAGTGTATAGTGCAGTATACTAGTTCAGCACACACCGGTTGTGTGCTGGAGAGTAAACCCACGACAACATTTACAATTCGAGTACCGTGACATTTCCTGCCAGTAATTGCGACAAAAACAACCAGCCCCATCAGGCACACGGACGGAGTTTGCGAGCGTAAGTCGGGTTAACGGGATTAAGTTGGAGGGTAAGGGATGCGAGCGGGAGGGGGGTGAGGGAGGAGTGACCGCAGGGTGGCAGAGCGCTGTGAGTGTGAGCGATAATTTGTGATAGCCAGGTCGCTTTTGAATAATAAGTTAATAGCTCAGTGGGATTTGTCTGGTAGGATGGGGATGATATAGTTGTATTTGTATGTGTGTTGGTGATTTTTTTACCTTTCTTGTACTTTGCACTACTATCGTACTTTTTCTCCTGTTTGTATTTGTAATGCTCTTGCCACGTGCACCGACTGGACATCTGTGAAAAAGAGCTTTATAGCTCATCAGAAGATTCCTCCTGCAGTGTAAATAAATACTCTGATTTTGTGTGTGTGTGTACGCACGTTGCTCGGTCGATCTCGAAGCGACCCTTGACCTGGATGTGAAACATGAGGTCGCCCCCGTTCAGATACTCCATCACAAACATGAGGTGCTCCTGCAACAACGACAGAGACAGAGAGACAGAGACAGACAAAGAGTCAGAGACAAAGAGAGAGACAGAGAGAGAGACAGAGAGATAGCGCCGCAGCGCCGCAGAGCAAGGGGGCGATCAGGCTGCGTGGCCTCGGAGGGGTGGCTCGTAACATCATGAAAAATAATAATGGGGCAGTTTTTACTCCTTTTTTCTTTCTTTCTGGCAATAAAACAACAGGACTTGTATTAAGATGCTAAAACGCTACATAGACACACACACCTTTTAGCAAGGCATCAAAAGTCTGCATTAACCACCACACACGTACATTGTGGCAAGGCGTACCAACAAACATGCTCTGATAAATATAATAATACAAGCATTGTCTTTGATTGGCCTACACCAGAGACAGCAACCTTCTTCATGGCACCGTTTGCCAGTATCAAAAATGATGAAACATAAGAATAGGTTTTACCCTTTCTGGCCATAAAACAGGAGGTGTTAAGATGTAAAAACACCAAATAGATACCGATTGCAAGGCATCAAGTCTGCATTAACCATACATACCTGTGGCAAAACATGCAAACAATCAGTTTCCAAGACAATGCATAGATTATCATCACAGTGGTGAGGCTGTGATGGTGGTGAGGCTGTCACAGTGGTGAGGCTGTGATGGTGGTGAGGCTGTGATGGTGGTGAGGCTGTGATGGTGGTGAGGCTGTGACGGTGGTGAGGCTGTGACGGTGGTGAGGCTGTGACGGTGGTGAGGCTGTGACGGTGGTGAGGCTGTGACGGTGGTGAGGCTGTGACGGTGGTGAGGCTGTGATGGTGGTGAGGCTGTGATGGTGGTGAGGCTGTGATGGTGGTGAGGCTGTGACGGTGGTGAGGCTGTGATGGTGGTGAGGCTGTGATGGTGGTGAGGCTGTGATGGTGGTGAGGCTGTCACAGTGGTGAGGTTGTGACGGTGGTGAGGCTGTGATGGTGGTGAGGCTGTCACAGTGGTGAGGCTGTGATGGTGGTGAGGCTGTGATGGCGGTGAGGCTGTTATGGTGGTGAGGCTGTGATGGTGGTGAGGCTGTGACGGTGGTGAGGCTGTCACAGTGGTGAGGCTGTGACGGTGGTGAGGCTGTGATGGTGGTGAGGCTGTGACGGTGGTGAGGCTGTGACGGTGGTGAGGCTGTGACGGTGGTGAGGCTGTGATGGTGGTGAGGCTGTGATGGTGGTGAGGCTGTGACGGTGGTGAGGCTGTGACGGTGGTGAGGCTGTGACGGTGGTGAGGCTGTGATGGTGGTGAGGCTGTGATGGTGGTGAGGCTGTGATGGTGGTGAGGCTGTGATGGTGGTGAGGCTGTGATGGTGGTGAGGCTATGATGGTGGTGAGGCTGTGATGGTGGTGAGGCTGCGATGGTGGTGAGGCTGCGATGGTGGTGAGGCTGTGATGGTGGTGAGGCTGTGATGGTGGTGAGGCTGTGATGGTGGTGAGGCTGTGATGGTGGTGAGGCTGTGATGGTGGTGAGGCTGTGATGGCGGTGAGGCTGTGATGGTGGTGAGGCTGTCACGGTGGTGAGGCTGTGATGGTGGTGAGGCTGTGATGGTGGTGAGGCTGTGATGGTGGTGAGGCTGTGATGGTGGTGAGGCTGTCACGGTGGTGAGGCTGTGATGGTGGTGAGGCTGTGATGGTGGTGAGGCTGTCACGGTGGTGAGGCTGTGATGGTGGTGAGGCTGTGATGGTGGTGAGGCTGTGATGGTGGTGAGGCTGTCACGGTGGTGAGGCTGTGATGGTGGTGAGGCTGTGATGGCGGTGAGGCTGTCACGGTGGTGAGGCTGTGATGGTGGTGAGGCTGTGATGGTGGTGAGGCTGTGATGGTGGTGAGGCTGTGATGGCGGTGAGGCTGTCACGGTGGTGAGGCTGTGATGGTGGTGAGGCTGTGATGGTGGTGAGGCTGTGATGGTGGTGAGGCTGTCACGGTGGTGAGGCTGTGATGGTGGTGAGGCTGTGATGGTGGTGAGGCTGTCACGGTGGTGAGGCTGTGATGGTGGTGAGGCTGTGATGGCGGTGAGGCTGTGATGGTGGTGAGGCTGTCACGGTGGTGAGGCTGTGACGACGGCGGCGGTGAGGAGGCTCCCTCACCTTGGTCTGGAAGGTGCAGTAGAGATGTGCCAGGTAGGGGTGGTCCCAGGCGAGGGAGAGGATGCGCTTCTCGACGAGGGTGCACTCCACGTCGTCCGACATGATCACCACGTCCTTCTTCAGGGCCTTGATGGCAAAGAAGTTCCTTGGGCGAGATTTCAGTTCGGCCAAGAAGACCTGCGTGGCGGCGGCGGTGGATGCGTGAAGAGACCAGAGCGGCAGTGGATAACGATCTAACGCGAGAAAGGGCTCCAGAGAGCCAGATGAACACGTTTTGCAATCACGACGTCTGTCACCAACATCACAAAAGCAATTTTTTTTAGATTAAACAGATATAACTCAGAGCAAAAACAAGCAGATAGAACTCAAAGATAACCAGATATAAGTCAGAACCAAATAAAACTCGGCAGAGACAACCATATAGAACTCAGCAGTCAACCAGACAGAACTCAGCAAAGACAACCAGATATAACTCGGAGACAACAATTTCTATCTTAGCAGAGACAACCAGATCAAACTCAGAGACAACCAGATATAATTCAAGAGACAACCAGATAGAACCCATAGACAACCAGATAGACCACAGAGGCAACCAGATAGAACTCAGAAACAACCAGATAGAACCCATAGACAACCAGATAGACCACAGAGGCAACCAGATAGAACTCAGAAACAACCAGATAGAACCCATAGACAACCAAATAGAACCCATAGACAACCAGATAGACCACAGAGGCAACCAGATAGAACTCAGAAACAACCAGATAGAACCCATAGACAACCAGATAGAACCCATAGACAACTAGATAGAACTCAGAAACAACCAGATAGACCACAGGACCAGATCGAACTCAGAGACAACCAGACAGAACTCAGAACCAGACAGAACTCAGCAGAGAGACAAGCCATCACCTTTCCAAAGCTGCCCTTCCCGAGCACTTTGTGGAAGATGAAGTCGCTGAGGCCTAGCTTGATGGGCTTGGGAGGAGCCTGGCCCGAGGAGGCACGTCCGGGCTGCGTGGGGGAGAGCAGACCGGGCGAGGTGGGAGGGACGGGGCTCGTCGGCGACTCGTCGGGGCTCTTGGGGCAGGTGATGTTGTACGAAGAGTCGTCGCCACCACCGTCTTCTCTGGCTGCCGGCAAACAAAGCGGGAGCGGGGGAGCTCGTGAGCGCACGCGGTGGTGGCGGTGGTGGTGTTTGGTGGTTTCGCCGACCTCTACCGGAACCGGCACACTCGCCGCCCTGAACTCTCAATCGCATCTTGTACCCTACATACAATAGAGTTGGTAGATACTACTGTAGAGTCATTATATACTACCGACTGTATTGTATGTAGCGTGTGTAGTAGTAGATATTACTGGGATACTACTGCTTCAGTATATACTAATATACAGTGAGGGAAAAAATTATTTGATCCCCTGCTGATTTTGTACGTTTGCCCACTGACAAAGAAATGATCAGTCTATAATTTTAATAGTAGGTTTATTTGAACAGTGAGCGACAGAATAACAACAACAAAATACAGAAAAACGCATGTCAAAATTGTTATAAATTGATTTGCATTTTAATGAGGGAAATAAGTATTTGGTCCCTCTGCAAAACATGACTTAGCACTTGTTGGCAAAAACCTTGTTGGGAATCACAGAGGTCAGACGTTTCTTGTAGTTGGCCACCAGGTTTGCACACATCTCAGGAGGGATTTTGTCCCACTCCTCTTTGCAGATCTTCTCCAAGTCATTAAGGTTTCGAGGCTGACGTTTTGCAACTCGAACCTTCAGCTCCCTCCACATATTTTCTATGGGATTAAGGTCTGGATACTGGCTAGGCCACTCCAGGACCTTAATGTGCTTCTTCTTGAGCCTATCTTTTGTTGCCTTGGCCGTGTGTTTTGGGTCATTGTCATGCTGGAATACCCATCCACGACCAATTTTCAATGCCCTGGCTGAGGGAAGGAGGTTCTCACCCAAGATTTGACGGTACATGGCCCCGTCCATCGTCCCTTTGATGCGGTGAAGTTGTCCTGTCCCCTTAGCAGAAAACACCCCCAAAGCATAATGTTTCCACCTCCATGTTTGACGGTGGGGATGGTGTTCTTGGGGTCATAGGCAGCATTCCTCCTCCTCCAAACAAGGCGAGTTGAGTTGATGCCAAAGAGCTCCATTTTGGTCTCATCTGACCACAACACTTTCACCCAGTTGTCCTCTGAATCATTCAGATGTTCATTGGCAAACTGCAGACGGGCATGTATATGTGCTTTCTTGAGCAGGAGGACCTTGCAGGCGCTGCAGGATTTCAGTCCTTCACGGCGTAGTGTGTTACCAACTGTTTTCTTGGTGACCATGGTCCCAGCTGCCTTGAGATCATTGACAAGATCCTCCCGTGTAGTTCTGGGCTGATTCCTCACCGTTCTCATGATCATTGCAACTCCCCAGGCCGAGGGAGATTGACAGGTCTATTGTGTTTCTTCCATTTGCGAATAATCGCACCAACTGTTGTCACCTTCTCACCAAGCTGCTTGGCGAAGAACAACGATGTGTAACTTTTTTATATTATTAATTCTCAGTGGACCCTCCCCCTCCAGATGTGGAGGTAAAAAGTTGATCAACAGGTTTCCAAAAATTGTCCAAAAAGAACATCTGGAGGGGGAGGGTCCACTGAGAATTAATAATATAAAAACAGTTACACATCGTTGTTCTTGGAAATGTTGCTCCAGTTAATCCTACAGTACAGTAGTTGCCATATCTTTACTCACAGTAGGTGGCGGAGTTTGATTGAAGTTGATTGGTCTGGCTCTGCTGTCATCCACTTAGTGGGCCGAGTCATATGCGCGGGAGCAGGAAAGTGTTATTAAGATTGAGCACACGCAGTAATAAACTACATTTTCTTAGCTTAAACAGAATGTATACCTACAGTGAGGGAACAAGGTATTTGATCCCCTGCTGATTGATTGATTGCTTCTGTGAACAGGTGCCTTTTATACAGGTAAAAGCTGAGATTAGGAGCACTTTCTATAAAAGTGTGCTCCTAATATCAGCTCGTTACTTGTATAAAAGACACATGGGAGCCAGAAATCTTTCTGATTGAAAGGGAGTCAAATACTTATTTCCCTCATTAAAATGCAAATCAATTTATAATATTTTTGACATGGGTTTTCTAGATGTTTTTGTTGTTATTCTGTCTCTCACTGTTCAAATAAAACTACCATTAAAATTTTAGACTGATCATTTCTTTGTCAGTGGACAAACGTACAAAATCAGCAGGGGATCAAATACTTTTTTCCCTCACTGTATATTAGTGGTTTTTGGCATAGAGATCCGCGGAAAATTTATATTTTTGGATTATCCGCGATTTTTAATAATCTGCTGCAGTCTTCCGCGTCGTGAGCGAGGATAATCGAGAGTCGACTGTGTTTCTAAAGAGGTTTGCTGGCTGGATTCCTTCCTGGATTCCTGTGCATACGCCGGATGTAGGCCATGTGTGCGTGCGTGGTCATCACACCACTAACCCACCCACTCACCCACCCACCCTCCACCTACTCACCAACCCACCCTCCACCCACCCTCCACTCAGCCCATCATCCCTCCCCTCCCTCCGGGATGGATACATCACATACTTATTTGTGGAGAAGCACAACAGGGGTTGTCCTACGGATATACTCGCCCTCCACCCGAGGAATGTGGAATTTTCTCCACTGGTTCTGCAGGGCTATGAACGGAAGATGCGTCACGTTTGGCAATATGTTAACTACCTCGCCTGGTATACAGGAGGTTGTGGCTTTGATCCCGAGTCTGACGCCTGCTGTATATAGGAGTTTGCATGTTTCCCCTGTGGTCGCGTGGAATTTTCTCTGGGTCCTCCGTCTTATCCCTCAACATTTACACGCATTGCGCGTTCAGAGTTCTTGGCTGCTCTAAATTTCCACGCGATGATGAGCCACATCGCGGGTAAAGAAGCGCGGGAAGACCGGCATGGGCGGGGCAGTCGACAACGTACCTTGCTCCTGCGCTTGGATGGCCTTCTGCAAGTTGGGGATCATGTTCTCAAAATTCTGGAACTCGGCCAGAGCTCCCTTCTGTGTCTTTATCTGTGGAGTAGACAGCGGCTTGGGGCACTCAGCGCTGGCGTGGCAGTGTGGTGGGCACCCAGATCCCTCCCAAACAACGACTCCATCGCAAGAGGATGACCACCTACTCGCTACTACTACTACCGCTGTTATTGTTGTTACAGTCTGTTCTCCCGTAACGTTGCGGTAGTCGTTGCGTTCCAGAAGAACACCGCATGCCGGAAAAATCGCGTTGTAATAAATAATATATAATATGAGGGTAAAGCACGTTCCGCGATGACACGCGAAATGCGTAAGACAGGCTGAACAAAGACTGAGGGACGTGGGTAGCATCTAGAAGCATCCAGAAGTATCCCAATGCCTTGTGTGATACTACACCAAGGCAGCCGTTACAACCGCTTATTTGGACTCGCGTGACGTAGTTCCGTTGACTCGATCACATTATATCCAATTCGCACACCCGCGTAATGAAAAAAAATGCGTTCCCAGATTACATTCGCTGTGCTGTATCCAATCCGCATTCTAAAAACACCATGCAGCATTGCAGGAGAACGGACTGCGCTGCACCGTCGGAGCCTTTCGCGCCAGTGCCGTGAGACTGAATGGTAACGAGCGGCCTCCGTGCCCTTAACCCGAGGTTGGGCCATGGAGCGAATGTGGCCCAGGTGCTGGGAGAGGCTTCTGGCCAGGGGCTCTCGGCGAAATCACAGCGGGGTTTGTGCGGTGGACAAGGGCAACAGTCGCACATCTAGTGCCTTAACAGAGCTGGCACCTTCACAAAGATACCATCTTAACAAAGGTAACATCTTAACAAAGATACAATCTTAACAAAGATACCATATTAACAAAGCTAGCATCTTAACAAAGCTAGCATCTTAACAAAGCTAGCATCTTAACAAAGCTATCATCTTAACAAAGCTACCATCTTAACAAAGCTAGCATCTTCTTGGTTTTTTCGGTAAAGTCACGTAGAAGGGAAGTAATAAAATAATAAAAATAAAACATAACAAAATAATTCTCACGACGTTTTGGCCACAACGCAAGCAGCCGTCCTCAGGTGGAGAACAGGTCCGTCAAGTACACAGAGTCTGAATGCACGCTCCAGGCTTGGAGCGACTATTTATGCTGGGATGGAGGGGCGAAGAGCGTCTTGACAAAATAATTTGCATATTAAGATGAATTTAGCATATTTATGGAAAATGCAGATATGCGATTAGCACTACTTGTGAAATGCGTAGGAGGTTTGGCGAGGGGTTTAAAGTCATTATGCCCATGCATTATGCAGGATTAGCAGCATCAAAGGGAGGGAGTAAGGTCAGAATTAATAAAGGGAAGGAATGTTAATAATATGGCGCCGCAGCAACTAATATGCTTATTGACTATACCTTGTCATATTACACTATGTTTTATTCTACCCACTCAACTGTATAGCACACTGCTATATATTCACTATAAAATTACGATACTATATATTACCTTATACATTGTATTAAACATTACACTTTAATACTATTTATTATTATATAATATGCTATACACTATACCATAAACCGTCGCGTGAAAGGTACTAAGAGAAAGCAACGAAATATGCAACGAAATATGCCAAGAAGATGAATCCCCGCAGTCACGAAAGCTTTAAATCGAAAGCTAGCATTTAGCAGAGCGAGCGCCTTTACAAGCCAACAACGGCCGTGGCGGTTCATGGGCGGCGAGGGTCCATTCTGAGCGGCGCCGTCTCCCTGCGGCGCGTCACGGCTCGCAGGGAAGTTCCCGACGGCCAGTGCGGCGCTCACCATCTGCTGGGTCGTGTCGATGTGCGCCAGTGCCTCGGCCATCAGCTTCTGGTTGACGCCGCACAGGTTGGCAACCTTCCCCTTGCAGCGGTGGTGAACGTTCATCTCGCACGCTGGAGTAGGGAGGGGGGGCACAAGGAGGGGGCACACTGAGGGGAAGCACGAGGAAGGGGGAGTGGTGAACATTCATGTGGCACTGAAGGGGGGGGGCATGGGGAGGAGGGCGCGCCCACGATGGGGATTGAGGCTACACTGGGGGTTGAGGGGGTTGAGGCTACACTGGAGTTGAGGGGGTTGAGGCTACACTGGAGATGAGGGGGTTGAGGCTACACTGGAGTTGAGGGGGTTGAGGGGGTTGAGGCTACACTGGAGTTGAGGGGGTTGAGGCTACACTGGAGTTGAGGGGGTTGAGGCTACACTGGAGTTGAGGGGGTTGAGGGGGTTGAGGCTACACTGGAGTTGAGGGGGTTGAGGGGGTTGAGGCTACACTGGAGTTGAGGGGGTTGAGGGGGTTGAGGCTACACTGGAGTTGAGGGGATTGAGGCTACACTGGAGTTGAGGGGGTTGAGGCTACACTGTGGGTTGAGGCTACACTGGGGGTTGAGGGGGATGAGGGGGTTGAGGGGGGTGAGGGGGTTGAGGCTACACTGGGGGTTGAGGGGGTTGAGGGGGTTGAGGCTACACTGGGGTTGAGGGGGATGAGGGGGTTGAGGGGGTTGAGGCTACACTGGGGGTTGAGGGGGATGAGGGGGTTGAGGGGGTTGAGGGGGTTGAGGCTACACTGGGGTTGAGGGGGTTGAGGGGGTTGAGGCTACACTGGGGTTGAGGGGGTTAATGGAGTTGAGGCTACACTGGAGTTGAGGGGGTTGAGGGGGTTGAGGCTACACTGGAGTTGAGGGGGTTGAGGCTACACTGGAGTTGAGGGGGTTGAGGCTACACTGGAGTTGAGGGGGTTGAGGCTACACTGGAGTTGAGGGGGTTGAGGCTACACTGGAGTTGAGGGGGTTGAGGGGGTTGAGGGGGTTGAGAGGGTTGAGGCTACACTGGAGTTGAGGGGGTTGAGGCTACACTGGAGTTGAGGGGGTTGAGGGGGTTGAGGGGGTTGAGGGGGTTGAGGGGGTTGAGGGGGTTGAGGCTACACTGGAGTTGAGGGGGTTGAGGCTACACTGGAGTTGAGGGGGTTGAGGCTACACTGGAGTTGAGGGGGTTGAGGGGGTTGAGGGGGTTGAGGGGGTTGAGGCTACACTGGAGTTGAGGGTGTTGAGGCTGCACTGGGGTTGAGGGGGTTGAGGGGGTTGAGGGGGTTGAGGCTACCCTGGGGGTTGAGGGGGTTGAGGGGGTTGAGAGGGTTGAGGCTACACTGGAGTTGAGGGGGTTGAGGCTACACTGGAGTTGAGGGGGTTGAGGGGGTTGAGGGGGTTGAGGGGGTTGAGGCTACACTGGAGTTGAGGGGGTTGAGGGGGTTGAGGGGGTTGAGGCTACACTGGAGTTGAGGGGGTTGAGGGGGTTGAGGGGGTTGAGGGGGTTGAGGGGGTTGAGGCTACACTGGAGTTGAGGGGGTTGAGGCTACACTGGAGTTGAGGGGGTTGAGGAGGTTGAGGGGGTTGAGGGGATTGAGGCTACACTGGGGTTGAGGGGGTTGAGGAGGTTGAGGGGGTTGAGGGGATTGAGGCTACACTGGGGTTGAGGGGGTTGAGGGGGTTGAGGGGGTTGAGGGGGTTGAGAGGGTTGAGGCTACACTGGGGTTGAGGGGGTTGAGGGGGTTGAGGGGGTTGAGGGGGTTGAGGCTACCCTGGGGGTTGAGGGGGTTGAGGGGGTTGAGAGGGTTGAGGCTACACTGGAGTTGAGGGGGTTGAGGCTACACTGGAGTTGAGGCGGTTGAGGGGGTTGAGGGGGTTGAGGCTACACTGGGGTTGAGGGGGTTGAGGCTACACTGGAGTTGAGGGGGTTGAGGAGGTTGAGGGGGTTGAGGGGGTTGAGGCTACACTGGGGTTGAGGGGGTTGAGGGGGTTGAGGGGGTTGAGGGGGTTGAGGCTACACTGGGGGTTGAGGGGGTTGAGGGGGTTGAGGGGGTTGAGAGGGTTGAGGCTACACTGGGGTTGAGGGGGTTGAGGGGGTTGAGGGGGTTGAGGCTACACTGGAGTTGAGGGGGTTGAGGGGGTTAATGGAGTTGAGGCTACACTGGAGTTGAGGGGGTTGAGGGGGTTGAGGGGGTTGAGGCTACACTGGAGTTGAGGGGGTTGAGGGGGTTGAGGGGGTTGAGAGGGTTGAGGCTACACTGGGGTTGAGGGGGTTGAGGAGGTTGAGGGGGTTGAGGGGGTTGAGGCTACACTGGGGTTGAGGGGGTTGAGGGGGTTGAGGGGGTTGAGGGGGTTGAGAGGGTTGAGAGGGTTGAGGGGGTTGAGGGGATTGAGGGGGTTGAGGGGGTTGAGAGGGTTGAGGCTACACTGGGGTTGAGGGGGTTGAGGGGGTTGAGGGGGTTGAGGGGGTTGAGGCTACACTGGGGTTGAGGGGGTTGAGGGGGTTGAGGCTACACTGGAGTTGAGGGGGTTGAGGGAGTTGAGGGGGTTGAGAGGGTTGAGGCTACACTGGAGTTGAGGCTACACTGGGGATTGAGGCTACGCTGATGGGCCTGGGGAATTTACCATCGCACTTCAGTCCCTGCTTCACCAGGCCCCAGAGCAGAGTCCCACAGTGGTCGCAGAACGTGGGGCTCTTGTAGTTGTTGGTGCGGAACCTGTGTGGCATGTCGATCTTAAAGCGCTCCTTCTGAAGCTGCTCGCACAGCGAGAAGGGCAAAGACATAAACAATGAGACACAAAACATGACGGAGAGACATACACGAGACAGAGACACGCAATGAGAGAGAAACACAATGAGACACACGTACAACAAAGCAGAGAGACACTCAATGAGACAGACACACACGATAAGACACACAAGGAGACAGAGGGACACTCAAAGAGTCACATACAACAAGACAGAGATACACAATGAGATATACTGAAAGAGAGACATAATGAGAGAGGTACAATGAGACACACAATGAGACAGAGGCAATTAATCGATTAATTAATTGATGGAGTTATTGATCCTTCCGGGGCTTTTGCTTATTTTCATTCGTGAATGACAAACGACAGGAATAAAGGCTGTTTTTCAACGATTTTACTTAACTTGATTCCTCTGTTTGTCGTGGTAAAATTTTGTCATCAAAATTTCGTCCACTTCCCGTTGTCCAATCAATTCCACATTTTGCACACGTACCCAGATCCGGTGACAATGCATGCCTGTATCAAATCGGCATCAATGAATCAATTAAATCGCTAATTTAAAGCAATTAACATTTTGTATGGACGCCTTATTATTTATATATATTTGTGTCGGTCAATAACGCCGTGGTCCCTAAACTGTGGAATCGGCTCGCCCAAGAAGCAGGCGCCGCGTGTCTCAGGCGCCATTGACGTACTTCTCGACCGTGAATTAAACGAAGTTGTTAATAAAACCGTTGTTTTAAAATAAAACTTTTAAAGGAGTTTAGTTGTTTTCAGCTCCTCCTGGTGGAGATACAAGGAGGCATTGCAATCAAAATCGGAATATTTATTTACAAGACGTCCAGATGATGACGCCGCCGCCGAACAAGACACCGATTGCACGGTGCCGCGTCTGCGTAACCGCACAGACGGCATGGTAATAAAACAAGGAACTCGGACGCGCTCTGACGCCGTGCATGGTAATAAAACAAGGAACTCGGACGCGCTCTGACGCCGTGCATGGTAATAAAACAAGGAACCGGGACGCGCTCTGACGCCGTGCATGGTAATAAGACAAGGAACCGGGACGCGCTCTGACGCCGTGCATGGTAATAAGACAAGGAACCGGGACGCGCTCTGACGCCGTGCATGGTAATAAAACAAGGAACTCGAATGCGCTCTGACGCCGTGTGCCCTCTCCTTGGGACCGATCGGCTCGCGTCGGCGACGGCCTCCGTTATTTTGCGAGGTGTGAAATCGCGTGCGACGCCTCGCTTGCTATTAAGCAACGCACTGAGAAGTGCGAGGAATGTCAATGTTTGGGTAAATCTGGAGAGAAGAGGAGACACGATTCAGGGGTAATGTGAAAAACACTGACGCTCAACAGATCTAGTCGACTCGATTCTTTATTTAAGCAGGTGTAAGGCCCCACTGAGCTGCTACGTAGCTTTCATTTTTCCTCGATCCAGTGCTTGAAGCTCCACATTTCCATGACATGGGCCAGCCTTGCCACAACGTGGGCAGGCCAATGACCTGCCCATGAAGTGGTACTCAATTTGTTCAGCCGAGGCGGATGGCTGGACAAACTCGTCTTGATGACAGACCCCCCCCCCCCCCAGGTCGTGTGACCTGGCCCCGCTGATCGATCGTTCTCTTTGCAATGCGTACACTGCACGAGGTGTTGCATGCGCGTTGATAAAGTGGGGGGGGGGGGGGGGGGGGGGGGTCCTGTTTAGATATTACCATCTGTGGCCATTCGCGAGTAACAAATGTCACCCTCGATGACTGAGGTGGAGCGTCTCTCGCTTTGTGTCCAGGGTGTTGGGACCGACGCACGCCCAACACGTTGTGCTCCATGTGGTCACGTACACGGTGCCGCCGCAATTGTGCAAAAAACGTCTCACCCGGTCAAACGCACAAATCATTTTTCGAAAAGTTTTCACAGCGGTATGGAGGGGGGAGGATTGCTGTCCAGATTCCTGGTTGAGTACAATTCAGATGAAAAAACTAATTCCATTCGGAAAATGCAAACCCAAAATTGGAGATGTGGGTTTACCCTCCAACACACCGGTGTGCTGATCTAGTAACAATTTGGCGCGTTTTCTTTACGTGACAAACCTTACTAATTGGTGTCGGGTTTAACGACGCATTTATATTTACGCGATCTAACCCAAAAAGCCTCTATTATGAAGTGGCTTATCATGTAGAAATGTATAGCAGCCAAACACTCTAAAAGCACTTAGATTCTAAATATATAAAGAAAAAGCGGAGGACCCGGATTAAAAATCCACGCGACCATCGGGAGAGAGGCACGCAAACTCCAAATATAGAGCAGGCATCGTCAGGGTCGGGATCGAACCCGCGACCTCCTGCACACCAGGCGAGGGAGTTAACATCTCTTGTGATTGGTGTGTCCGGGCGATCGCTCGCTGTTAGCGCCACTCCGTCCCGTGGCGCGCGCCGCTAATTCGCCGCTCGTTGCAAGAGCTCCCCGGTGGGAATGTTTTCCATCTCGGACTCGCGTCACCAGCAGCTGCCGCAGCTGCGGCACCAATTGTGAACAATTTGAGACGAACAGCTCCGTGTGAGAAACCGGATACAACACGGGGGCAGTGGGCCGAGTTGTCTGGGAAAGAACCTGAATGTCAGGAACACGCATAAATATTACCGATCTGTCGCTTGATGCGTGTACGCGTATCTCTGTTTCATTGTGTCTCTCTGATTGTGTGTCCTTGTGTGTGTCTCTGTCACATTGTGTCTCTCTCGTGTGTCATTGAGTGTGTCGCTTGTCTCATTGTGTCTCTGTCTCATTGTGTCTCTCATATTCTTGTTTATTTCCCCGGTTGCATCTCGCAGCAGACCTGTGGCGCTGCCTCGAGGCTGCGCCACGGCCGCGATGCCGGTGCGGCCGTGCGGTTCCCTGCCGGGCCGGCGAGGGATGCTCATCAGCGCATCAGAGCCGCCCCCCGCCCCCCGCCCCCCCGCGCGATGCGAACGAGCGGAGGGGGGGGCGGTCCCCCCCTTTCATATTTTGTCCCGTTTCATTTCTTCTTCTTCGAAATACGAGCGAAAGAAAGCGCATCAAAGTGGGGGAGGGGGAGGGGTGGGGGCTCCCCCGCGGCTTCAGAGGGCAGCTGGGGTCGGCGGGGGGAGGGGTCGACGAGAGGAGGGGGGGTCAGCGGCGGCGGGAGGGGCTCTCTCACCGCCGTGTCGCGGCTGTCGGTCGCGCTGCCCGTGCACTGCGCCAGGACCTTGTCGATGCAGCGCTTGTGGATCACCGCGTTGCACTCTGCGGACGTGCACGCACAAAGACAAAGATCCCTCACCACGGCGTAGCCTTCGCGGACTCTTGGGGCAAGTGCTGTTCGCGAGCGGCGCCGACGGAGGCCGGCGCCGCACGAGAAGGGGGTTGTGGTGGAGTGGCCGGCACCACGCCCGGCCGCCTTTGCCTCCCCAGTGACGGTGTTTGCAACGCACCAGGTACACGTTGGAGGCCGAATCGACCTAGGGGAGGCCCTGGACTGGTTCAATTGTTCCTCACTGGTGTTGACCACGAGTGGAAATCGAACTCGGGTCGCCGGGTTTGGAGTGCAGCTCGAACCATGTGGATTGTGGAAGGATCGTCCCTGGCAGGTCACGGGACAGACCCAGGTGCCATCGGTTGACTGACTGGAATGATTGGCAGATAAACCAGTTGTGCCCCCTACTGTGCCAACCTGCTGCGTTTAAGCTGCCCGGCGCTCCGCTCGTTGTTCTGAGCGTCGCCCCTCTGCCCTCCGTGGGCGACTGCCTCCAACTGCCCAATAGCGTCCTTCACGAGCCTCCTCCATAGAGGCCGATCTTGACACCGCTGGCACCAGTCATCGGCAAGTCCACTCAGCTCCACATCCTCCTGTACCACATCACTCCATCTCTACTCTAGCCCATAGCGCACCGGTTTAACCTCCCTCTATCTGGTCGAACAGAAGCTGCTTGGGCATGCGGAGGCTGGGCATGCGTCCTAAAATGCGACTGAAAATGTTCACCCAAAAAAACTACGTGGGCATTTGTCGTTGTTTCACACAGAGGCCCAAACACGGGGGAGGAGGCGGATTGTCTGCTTGGCTCATTTTGAGCAACACGCGAGAGCGTGGCACTGTCCTTTGGATGTGACCCTCCCTCCCTCCACGATGGCTAGGAGATATTAACTAACTCGCCTGATATGCAGAAGTGCGTGGGTTCAATTCCCATCCTGACGATAGCTGGAGTTTGCGTATCTCTCTCTCTCTCCCCGTAGCCGTGTGGATTTTTCTCCGGGTTCTCCGGTTTTTCCCTCCACATTTATAAATACGCGTTTAGAGTATTTGGCTGCTACAAATTCCCATATGATGATCATAACCCTGGCCAGGTCGCTTCTAAAAAGAGCTCTATAGCTTCGTGAGCCTTATCTGGTAAAATAAAATAAAAAAATGTGTTTGAATAGTTAGTTCCAGCCAGCCAGCCAAACTTTTCTCTCACACAGCACGATTGGACCTCGCGCTGTATGGAGGAGGGTGCTGTTTGTGTGAGTGCAGTAGAGGTGGGTGGAGGGTGGCGGTTTCGGTGGTTGTCATGAAGGCATCTTATTGTGCCGTGACGCCGGGATGTTCACTCCGACGAGAGACGAGAGAGTGAGAGACGAGAGAGTGAGAGATGAGAGAGTGAGAGTGAGAGAGTGAGAGAGTGAGAGACGAGAGAGTGAGAGATGAGAGAGTGAGAGAGTGAGAGACGAGAGAGTGAGAGACGAGAGAGTGAGAGAGTGAGAGAGACGAAAGAGACGAGAGAGACGAGAGAGACGAGAGAGACGAGAGAGTGAGAGAGACGAGAGGGACTCACGGCGACACTGATAGCCTTGCTTGTTGAGGCCCCTGCAGAGGAAGGTGGGCGAGAAGGGCGACAACAGAAAGCGTCAGCCGGCCGACCACACGCGGTGGACAAAGTCGTCACTCTCAACATCGCGGCCACTGGGCAACGTGGGCGGGGGGTCAGTAGGCTTTCATCCAGCAGTGGACTAAAACAACAGAGTGTAACTGCTGCTCGAACGAGCATTGGAAGGCACTGACGGATCATCTCCCCGTTTTACGGCCCTGAGGCGCCGGTGGAAATTTCACATTCCCGTGGTGGGGACGAGTCCATCCCTAGCGCAACCACTGAGAGATAACGCAAAGGAGGGGGGTGCTGGAAATGATTGTCGTTATCATGGTGTTATTAACATGTCCCGTACGGCTTTCACTGAAGGTCAGATTGATTATTCTCTTTGGCCACGGTGACCTGGGGTGAATTTAAAAGGCATCAAAGGAAACGCAGGCGTCACCAGAAATAACTCGGCAAAGTGTACACAGCCCCGTAGGGGTACGCGGCCCCTGTCGGGGTATGCAGCACGGCTCGAGAAGATGTGGTGCAGGAGGATGTGGAGCTGAGTGGACTTGCCGACGACCGGTACCAACGGTGTCAAGATCGACCTCTGTGGAGGAGGCTCTTGAAGGATACTACTGGGCAGTTGGAGGCAGTCGCCCTCCAACAACAACGGAGGACGGAGGAGCGACGCTCACAACAACGAGCGGAGTGCCGGGCGGATAAAACGTGGCAAGTTGGCACAGTGGGGGGCACAGGTGGTGCATCTGGCAGTCATCTCAGTCAACTAACGGCACCTGGGTCTCTGCCGTGACCTGCTATCAGCTAGCATTCAACACTTGACGTGGTCTCAAGGTGCACCTAGCCTGGCACAAGCCCTGTGGTGGCACTGAGTAGCGAGCGGCAACTGTTGTGTCTGCCGCGAGTATGCGTGCACGTGCGTGTCTCCAAGTGCTTGTGCACCTGTGTGAACGCCATGACCACAAAGTAAATATTATATGTGAATGTGTTCTTGTTGCCACATGCTAATACATGCTAATACATGCTGATATATGCCAATGCGTGCTCATAAGGAGGGGGGGGGGTAACATTTCATCTTCCTTCGCCTTGAGGCTGTGGGCTAAGCGATGGAGTCGGCACGTATGTCCAGTTGCCTGTTCGGATAGAGAGTCGTAAGTTCAACTGCCGCTCGATAGATGGTGATGGTGGCATCTGCAGAACGTGAAGAACCAGTGGCATCTACAGAAGATGAAGAACCAGTGGCATCTACATCTGCAGAACATGAAGAACCAGTGGCATCTACATCTGTAGAACGTGAAGAACCACACTCGCTTTCCCGTGAAATCAAAAAATGTAAGAAGGCAGAGAATGTTTTGGTTTAACACGTAGGAGGAGGCTTTATCATAATGGAGGTTTTTGTTGGGGCTAGATAGCATAAATATACATCTGGCTGTCCGCCTGATGATGCTAGGTGTCATTACTGTTGTAATGTTGTTGTCAGATTGGAAATGTTGTGGGTTTGCTCTCCAACACACTAGTAACGAACTGGCATGTTCTGTTAACGTGGTGGCGGCTTTAACGACACATTTATATTTACGCTATCTAACCCAAAAAAAACGTTATTATAGAGATTTTTTTGGTTTGCTGTTTATTTCCTTTACTGTTTTTTTCATTTACTACTAACTTCTCTCACGCTATTCGTTGCCGCACGGTTGCGCTGTATTTTACACGCGGCTGAATTTCCATAACGGGTCTCCGTTTTCACTGCTATTGCCCTGCGCTGCCGTCTGCCCCGTATCGTTCCCGTCCCACTGCACCACGCGCGCGTCATCGAGGGCGACATTGGCCCCTCAAATAAAGGCTGGCGCATTGAACGATGGGGCTGCCGCCGCACGGTCCGCTGTCGACGATGCGCGTCCCGCTCCGGTGAACGCTGCTCGAGACTTTGGCCCCTTGTTTACATTCAACTACGGATCTCATTCCGCGATGGGGGGGGGGGGGGCACCTCGCCTGCGTAGAACAAAGGATGCCTCTGTGTACGTACGGGCATCGATGGAGTTGGGGGGGCGTGCGTGCGTCCACAGGCGCACCTGAGCATGCATTGAGTTGTCAGTTTGCGACTCTCTGTGCACATCCACACACTAACCCTGCCCCTACCAGACACTCACCCTGCCCCTACCACACACTCACCCTGCCCCTACCACACACTCACCCTGCCCCTACCAGACACTCACCCAGCCCCTACCACACACTCACCCAGCCCCAACCAGACACTCACCCAGCCCCTACCACACACTCACCCTGCCCCTACCACACACTAACCCTGCCCCTACCAGACACTCACCCTGCCCCTACCACACACTCACCCAGCCCCTACCACACACTCACCCAGCCCCAACCAGACACTCACCCAGCCCCTACCACACACTCACCCAGCCCCTAACACACACTCACCCTGCCCCTACAACACTCACCCAGCCCTACCAGACACTCACCCAGCCCCTACCAGACACTCACCCAGCCCCTACCAGACACTCACCCTGCCCCTACCACACACTCACCCTGCCCCTACCACACACTCACCCTGCCCCTACAACACTCACCCAGCCCCTACCACACACTCACCCTGCCCCTACCACACACTCACCCTGCCCCTACCACACACTCACCCTGCCCCTACCACACTCTCACCCAGCCCCTACCACACACTCACCCTGCCCCTACCACACTCTCACCCAGCCCCTACCACACACTCACCCTGCCCCTACCACACACTCACCCTGCCCCTACCACACTCTCACCCAGCCCCTACCAGACACTCACCCTGCCCCTACCACACACTCACCCTGCCCCTACCAGACACTCACCCTGCCCCTACAACACACTCACCCTGCCCCTACCACACACTCACCCTGCCCCTACCACACACTCACCCTGCCCCTACCACACTCTAACCCAGCCCCTACCACACACTCACCCTGCCCCTACCAGACACTCACCCAGCCCCTACCACACACTCACCCAGCCCCTACCACACTCTCACCCAGCCCCTACTACACACTCACCCTGCCCCTACCACACACTCACCCAGCCCCTACCAGACACTCACCCTGCCCCTACCACACACTCACCCTGCCCCTACCACACACTCACCCAGCCCCAACCAGACACTCACCCAGCCCCTACCACACACTCACCCTGCCCCTACCACACACTAACCCTGCCCCTACCAGACACTCACCCTGCCCCCTACCACACACTCACCCAGCCCCTACCACACACTCACCCAGCCCCAACCAGACACTCACCCAGCCCCTACCACACACTCACCCAGCCCCAACCAGACACTCACCCTGCCCCTACCACACACTCACCCAGCCCCTACCACACACTCACCCAGCCCCTACCACACACTCAGCCTGCCCCTACAACACTCACCCAGCCCTACCAGACACTCACCCAGCCCCTACCAGACACTCACCCTGCCCCTACCACACACTCACCCTGCCCCTACCACACACTCACCCTGCCCCTACAAAACTCACCCAGCCCCTACCACACACTCACCCTGCCCCTACCACACACTCACCCTGCCCCTACCACACACTCACCCTGCCCCTACCACACTCTCACCCAGCCCCTACCACACACTCACCCTGCCCCTACCACACTCTCACCCAGCCCCTACCACACACTCACCCTGCCCCTACCACACACTCACCCTGCCCCTACCACACTCTCACCCAGCCCCTACCAGACACTCACCCTGCCCCTACCACACACTCACCCTGCCCCTACCAGACACTCACCCTGCCCCTACAACACACTCACCCTGCCACTACCACACACTCACCCTGCCCCTACCACACACTCACCCTGCCCCTACCACACTCTCACCCAGCCCCTACCAGACACTCACCCTGCCCCTACCACACACTCACCCTGCCCCTACCAGACACTCACCCTGCCCCTACCAGACACTCACCCTGCCCCTACCACACACTCACCCTGCCCCTACCACACACTCACCCTGCCCCTACCACACTCTCACCCAGCCCCTACCACACACTCACCCTGCCCCTACCAGACACTCACCCAGCCCCTACCACACACTCACCCAGCCCCTACCACACTCTCACCCAGCCCCTACTACACACTCACCCTGCCCCTACCACACACTCACCCAGCCCCTACCAGACACTCACCCTGCCCCTACCACACACTCACCCTGCCCCTACCACACACTCACCCAGCCCCTACCAGACACTCACCCTGCCCCTACCAGACACTTACCCTGCCCCTACCAGACACTCACCCTGCCCCTACCACACTCACCCTGCCCCTACCAGATACTCACCCAGCCCCTACCACACACTCACCCTGCCCCTACCACACTCTCACCCTGCCCCTACCACACACTCACCCAGCCCCTACCACACACCCACCCTACCACACACTCACCCTGCCCCTACCACACACTCACCCTGCCCCTACCACACACTCACCCTGCCCCTACCACACACTCACCATGCCCCTACCACACACTCACCCTGCCCCTACCAGACACTCACCCAGCCCCTACCACACTCACCCTGCCCCTACCAGACACTCACCCAGCCCCTACCACACACTCACCCTGCCCCTACCACACACTCACCCTGCCCCTACCAGACACTCACCCTGCCCCTACCACACTCACCCTGCCCCTACCAGACACTCACCCAGCCCCTACCACACTCACCCTGCCCCTACCACACACTCACCCTGCCCCTACCACACACTCACCCTGCCCCTACAACACTCACCCAGCCCCTACCACACACTCACCCTGCCCCTACCACACACTCACCCTGCCCCTACCACACACTCACCCTACCACACACTCACCCTGCCCCTACCAGACACTCACCCTGCCCCTACCAGACACTCACCCTGCCCCTACCACACACTCACCCTGCCCCTACCACACTCTCACCCAGCCCCTACCACACACTCACCCTGCCCCTACCACACTCTCACCCAGCCCCTACCACACACTCACCCTGCCCCTACCACACACTCACCCTGCCCCTACCACACTCTCACCCAGCCCCTACCAGACACTCACCCTGCCCCTACCACACACTCACCCTGCCCCTACCAGACACTCACCCTGCCCCTACAACACACTCACCCTGCCCCTACCACACACTCACCCTGCCCCTACCACACACTCACCCTGCCCCTACCACACTCTCACCCAGCCCCTACCAGACACTCACCCTGCCCCTACCACACACTCACCCTGCCCCTACCAGACACTCACCCTGCCCCTACCAGACACTCACCCTGCCCCTACAACACTCACCCAGCCCCTACCACACGCTCACCCTGCCCCTACCAGACACTCACCCTGCCCCTACCACACACTCACCCTGCCCCTACCACACACTCACCCAGCCCCTACCAGACACTCACCCTGCCCCTACCAGACACTTACCCTGCCCCTACCAGACACTCACCCTGCCCCTACCACACTCACCCTGCCCCTACCAGACACTCACCCAGCCCCTACCACACACTCACCCTGCCCCTACCACACTCTCACCCTGCCCCTACCACACACTCACCCAGCCCCTACCACACACTCACCCAGCCCCTACCACACACTCACCCTACCACACACTCACCCTGCCCCTACCACACACTCACCCTGCCCCTACCACACACTCACCCTGCCCCTACCACACACTCACCCTGCCCCTACCACACACTCACCCTGCCCCTACCACACACTCACCCTGCCCCTACCACACACTCACCCTGCCCCTACCAGACACTCACCCAGCCCCTACCACACTCACCCTGCCCCTACCAGACACTCACCCAGCCCCTACCACACACTCACCCTGCCCCTACCACACACTCACCCTGCCCCTACCAGACACTCACCCTGCCCCTACCACACACTCACCCTGCCCCTACCAGACACTCACCCAGCCCCTACCACACTCACCCTGCCCCTACCACACACTCACCCTGCCCCTACCACACACTCACCCTGCCCCTACCACACACTCACCCTGCCCCTACCACACTCACCCTGCCCCTACCAGACACTCACCCAGCCCCTACCACACTCACCCTGCCCCTACCACACACTCACCCTGCCCCTACCACACACTCACCCTGCCCCTACAACACTCACCCAGCCCCTACCACACACTCACCCTGCCCCTACCACACACTCACCCTGCCCCTACCACACACTCACCCTACCACACACTCACCCTGCCCCTACCACACACTCACCCTGCCCCTACCAGACACTCACCCTGCCCCTACCAGACACTCACCCTGCCCCTACCACACACTCACCCTGCCCCTACCACACTCTCACCCAGCCCCTACCACACACTCACCCTGCCCCTACCACACTCTCACCCAGCCCCTACCACACACTCACCCTGCCCCTATCAGACACTCACCCAGCCCCTACCACACACTCACCCTGCCCTTACCACACTCTCACCCTGCCCCTACCACACACTCACCCAGCCCCTACCACACACTCACCCTACCACACACTCACCCTGCCCCTACCACACACTCACCCTGCCCCTACCACACACTCACCATGCCCCTACCACACACTCACCCTGCCCCTACCACACACTCACACTGCCCCTACCACACACTCACCCTGCCCCTACCAGACACTCACCCAGCCCCTACCACACTCACCCTGCCCCTACCAGACACTCACCCAGCCCCTACCACACACTCACCCTGCCCCTACCACACACTCACCCTGCCCCTACCACACACTCACCCTGCCCCTACCACACTCACCCTGCCCCTACCAGACACTCACCCAGCCCCTAGCACACTCACCCTGCCCCTACCACACACTCACCCTGCCCCTACCACACACTCACCCTGCCCCTACAACACTCACCCAGCCCCTACCACACACTCACCCTGCCCCTACCACACACTCACCCTGCCCCTACCACACACTCACCCTACCACACACTCACCCTGCCCCTACCACACACTCACCCTGCCCTACCAGACACTCACCCTGCCCCTACCAGACACTCACCCTGCCCCTACCACACACTCACCCAGCCCCTACCACACACTCACCCTGCCCCTACCACACACTCACCCTGCCCCTACCACACTCTCACCCAGCCCCTACAACACTCACCCAGCCCCTACCACACACTCACCCAGCCCCTACCACACACTCACCCTGCCCCTACCACACACTCACCCTGCCCCTACCAGACACTCACCCTGCCCCTACAACACTCACCCAGCCCCTACCACACACTCACCCAGCCCCTACCACACACTCACCCTGCCCCTACCACACACTCACCCTGCCCCTACCACACACTCACCCTGCCCCTACCACACACTCACCCAGCCCCTACCACACACTCACCCTGCCCCTACCACACACTCACCCTGCCCCTACCACACCACATCCCAACCTCACCCTGCCCCTACCACACACTCACCCTGCCCCTACCACACACTCACCCTGCCCCTACCACACACTCACCCTGCCCCTACCACACACTCACACCTGCCCCTACCACACACTCACCTTGCCCCTACCACACACTCACCCTGCCCCTACCACACTCTCACCCAGCCCCTACCACACACTCACCCTGCCCCTGCCCCTACCACACACTCACCCTGCCCCTACCACACACTCACCCTGCCCCTACCACACACTCACCCCTGCCCCTGCCCCTACCACACACTCACCCTGCCCCTACCACACACTCACCCTGCCCCTAGCCACACTATCCATCCACACGCTAACGCTGCCCCCTCCCTACCTTCCCCCTCCTTCCCTTCCCCCCTCCCCTCCTCCTCTCGATTGACGTCGCAGGATGACTAACGGCCGCTGTGAAGCAGACCACGGCGTCGGACCTCACGGTTAATACCGAGACAATAACCAGGGCGCGTTCTGTCGGATTCGAACTGAGATCAGCTCGGTCGGCTACATACGGTGCGCAAGGAGTTCGGCGTATGGACGAACGCGCCACCTGGGCCGTGTGTCCCGGGCTGTCCCCAACGCAAGCTGGAAGCTTCGCGAATGAGAAGACGCAGTAATAATAATAATCGTTTATCATCGATTACCCAGGCGGTCTCCGGACTACGACAATGGAGATGGTCCGATCGGCGGACGATCCACGTTCACGAGGTTTGTACGACGTTTATGCAATGCCCACCACGAATCGATTCATGACGACGCAGAAGCTCGATGCAGGACGGCATCTTCCGACGCGACCTGGCGCCCAACGTGGCCAATAAAAGTAAAAACAGCATCGGCTAGTGGTGTCTCTACTGTTCCTGATGTCTATGGGAAAATAGGGGTCTGGTTAACGACGATGTTTCTAGGAACAGCGCATTGTGATGTCGCAGATGCACGGGGACCACCTGTGCAATGCAACATTAATCAGGGCGGCCTGCCGGAATCCAAGTGCAAACCTCTGCAACGAGGGGGGAATCCGCTACCCCTGGGACCCCCTCCTCGCCCCCCCTCCCACTCGCCCCCTCGCGCCCCCCCCCCCCCCCCCGTGCGCTACTGACCACACGAAGCTCTGGCACACGGAGCAGAACGTTGGCTGGCGGAAGAAGGTGGCGGTGTACTCGTGGCCCAGCACGATGTGCACCTTGGCCTGCTTGATGGCGCCTCGCCGACGGTTCAGCATGGACACGCCGCGCCACTCGGGGCCCTGCCAGTCCTTGGGGGCACCTGCACGGTCGGGGGAGATTGGGCCAAGGGCCGCCGGGGTCACGGATGGCAGTGGGGAAAGGTTATCGATCGTCGTCATCGGCCATTGTCGATCTGCTGCCGCGTGAAGGCCTCCCCAAGGCGCCGCCGCCTCTCGCGATCCTGCGATGCGACGATCCATCCGACGCCCACACCTCAAGTGGGTTTAATCGTTCCATTCCTGGGCCGTCGCTCCCAAACTATCGTCGCTTCGTGACGTGTCCTACCCTAACCCACTCCCACTTTTTCTCAAGTTTGGGCGATGTGTCCTTGTCCCCGTGCGTGTCCTCGAATCCGCGAGGTGCCCCTCCTGTCTCTCAAGGCAACTCCACGCCTGCGTCTCTCCGGGATTCGTTGCGCCCTCTCTATTTTGCGTTCCGCGTGCGCGCTTCCGTTAGCGACGACCGCGGCGAGCCAGAGCCACGCGTCGCCGCAGGTTTTGCGCACCGATAGGTCACACGACTAATCGTATAGAGAAGCAAATGAAGGTATCGGCGGTACACACCGGTGGTGCCATGGTAAACAAAGTAAAATGAAATGTTTTATTATTATTTATTTTCCTGGCATTCACTAACACATAGAATGGACTTTTTGTTTACTTTTTTTTAAAAATGTCTAATAGTGTATTGTATTACATTGATCTCTTTTTTTTTACCTTTTCTTGTTTAATTGTATGTAATGGAAGAGATTAGAGATTAATAAAGTACAACTATAACCGCAATCATATAAACAGAAATCTATTTGTCGCAATATATTGGGGGGGACATTTTTGAGCATATTGGGGGGGGGTTGTGTGTCCCCCCCCCAATATATATTATTATTATATTATAATTACGGCCTTGGCAGATTTACCGACACATTTATATTTACACGATCTAACCCAAGAGAAAAAAAACCCTCGATTGTGGTAATATTGGTCGCGAAAGTCTACTACGCATTAAACGAATGCCAACGCTGACATCTTTTCGTGGTGCGTGCGTGAGCGCGCGAGCGTGCGTTTACCCGTCTTCATCTCGTCGATGTACCGCAGAGACACCAGAAGCTTCCCTGCTGGCTTCAGGTCCAGCTGTTGACAAAGAGAGGAGAGGGAACGCAATGCACTTCAACTCTGGAGAAGCTTTTTTTTCAAAATCCGGCCGGATTACGACTCAACTATTTTAGATTTTTATTCTACCAGGCAAGGCCCAACTGAGCTGCTGTATAATTATTTTTCAGAAGTGACCCTTGGCCATCACAAATGATAGCTCGAGGTGGTGGCTCATCATGATCGCGTGGAAATTTATAGCAGGTAAATACTCTGAACACGTGGTCATGTTGATTCTAAATGTGGAGGGCAAAACTGGAGGACCCAGAGAAAAATCTACGTGACCAAGGGAAGAGAGAGAGACACGCAAACTCCAAATATACAGCAGGCGTCAAAGTCGGGATCGAATCCACGACCTCCTGCATAGCAGGCGAGGTAGTTAACATCTCGCCACTGCGGCGTCCATGCATACACGCATACATAGGATAGCGAACGAGTTTATTTGAAGTTTGCAGTGTCTCTCTCTCTCCCAATGGTCGTGTGGATTTTTTCTGGGTCCACCGCTCTTTCCCCTCCACATTTAGAAAGAACCTCACGCGTTTAGAGTATTTGGCCGCTATACATTTCCACGTGATGATGATGAGCTTCACTTGGTTGAGCTATCATTCGTGATGACCAGGTCGCTTCTGAAAAAGAGCTATGTAGCAGCTCAGCAGGGCATTACCTGGTAGAAGAAAAAATAGTTTTGAGTGTATGGCGAACGTCTTTCGCACCGTACGTAGCCAACCGCACTCTCGAAACCGTCCGTGGCTGGGGGCATCGTCGGCCACGCGAGCCCCCCCCCCCCCGACAGACTCCGAGCCCTCAAGCTGAGCCCCGCTCGCGCTTCCCCAGGGCTCCTGACGCGATGGCGGTGGCGGCCGTGGCATGGACCGGCACCCGGCGAGACATCAAACCCCCGGTGGTGACGAAGCCGATTCCTCATCGCCGTTTCATTTATCGTCCCCGTCGTCATTTTCCGACGGATGTTTCATATCGGCCGGGTCGCGCCTTTCAAGACAGCGGGCGGCCGGATGGTCAAACGGCTGCACAATGTGGCGCACGGTTTGGCAGGGTCACGGGTTCATGAGCCGTGCCACAGCTGATGGCAGCCCAAGCATAGGTGGGTGCACGATGCGCAGCTGCTGTGTCTCACTGTCTCTCTGTCTCGCTGTCTCGCCGTGTCTCACTGTGTCTCACTGTGTCTCGCCATGTCTCGCCGTGTCTCACTGTGTCTCGCTGTCTCACTGTCTCGCCGTGTCTCACGGTGTCTCACTGTGTCTCACTGTGTCTCGCCATGTCTCGCTGTCTCGCTGTCTCTCTGTCTCACTGTGTCTCACTGTGTCTCACTGTGTCTCGCTGTCTCACACTGTGTCTCGCTGTCTCGCTGTCTCACTGTGTCTCACTGTGTCTCACCGTGTCTCGCCGTGTCTCACCGTGTCTCGCTGTCTCACTGTCTCGCCGTGTCTCACAATCTCGCTGTCTTGTTTTATTTAAAACAAATATAAAAGAATAATTTTATTGGTATGGCTTCTGACCTCAAGATTTACCGATGCGTGAGGGCGTCTGGCACAGTTTGGCACCAGCTATCATAGAGTGTGGTCGTATCTCTAGAGTTCTCTGCGGTGAGTACAACGTCTTTAAGAACAACGGCGCTACGCCTCTCTAAATAAGATTAACACCGAACCGCTTGCGCATTCCGAGATTCGGCGGAGAACGGGGACACCCACCCACGCACCCTGCAACTTGCGGACGTCATCGGCATGGCAAAGGATTTAAGATCGCGTGAACATGAGAGGAGATGGCAGGACAGACAACAGCAGAGATTTCTGGCCGGGCTCGGTCGGCAACCTTCTTGCTGTACTGCCGCCACCCTTTTGCGCGCCACTCACCCACACGTCGGTTTTGCCGCCGGACTTCTGGCAACGTTCGGCAATTCCGTCGACGGGCACCGTGATCTCGGCCAGCACCTGCTCCGGCTTGCCGATGAGCAGCAAGTGCAGGACGTGCGAGTCGCCCACGGGAGTGTCGAAGTGGCCCTGCCATGGCGGGTACTGCGTCGACTGAACCTGGCGAAGCGTCTTCCGATCTGCATAAGCGAGGGCAGGGGAAGGGAAGGGAAGGGAGGAGGGAGGGAGCGAGGGAGGGGAGGAGGGGAGGGAGGGAGATGAGTACAGGTGTCTTTTCACGTTTTACGCGGAGCGACAGATCGATGTGGGACGAGCATCGTCGGGTTATTTATTTTGTTACATTCTCTGCCGCGTTGCTCGTCATTATTCTGTGTTGTAGATCACTGAAGAGTCTCGCGTCGGACGAGGACTCTTAGCTAACAGAGAGGGTCCTGTCATCCGGCAGTTCTTTCTATGCGAGTCTCTGGGTCTCTCTCTCTTAAGAACGCGAATCTGTGTGTGAGTCTACGGATTGTTGTATCTATGCCCTGTTTTCCGTTATTAATATTAAGAATAATTAAGAAAACATTTTTTTTTGTTTTTATTATATATATATATTTTTAATAATGAGGACGGCTCACTTCTCCTCACGGGCACACCGAGAGTCCATGATTCATGGAGGGCAGTTGAAATGATAGGAATTCGGTCACAAAGAGGTCATAGACATCCAGACGGACAAAAAGATGTATGGACTAAACCTCCCAAGACATCTGGAGATGTACAGATAAGGTGCAGAGTAAATAACGGTTGCCACTCGCGTTTTCTTAACGTTTTCCTAACCGAAAAGTAGAAACTTAACAGAAAGAATGAACCAACAAACAATAGGGGCTTTTTTTTATTAGTAATTCCCTTGTATTCCTCGTATTCACCGTATATATATTATTTTTGTATTGTATGTTTCTATCTACCTGACCAAAAAAAAAAATAATAATTACGAATTTCAACAGTTAAGGAAGCATAAGTGGAAACTTAGTTGCACTTAACCTCAGGACATTAAAATATAACTCAAGAATAAATGTAACACACAGGACCACATAAATGTATCGCATACATCTCCTCGACCACCTTTGTCTTCCAGCGGTGTCTGACCTCAGAATGACCCACGCAGGGCAAGCAAGGAGGGAGCAAAAAGGTCACAGGGGGGAATCGGTGCCTGACATTCCAAAGACATCTGTTTTGTTGTTTGTTTTCTCTCGCAAGAGACGCGGAGAGAGGAGAGGGGAGTCACGTTTTGAGTTAGGCACAGCACACAACACAGTCAGTCCGGGTCGAGCTCAGCGTTGCGACGGGGCACGCAAGGGAGCTGTGGCAGTCGTGCCTCGAGAAGAGATGGGACGACGAGACATCGTTAAAGTGGCAGCCTGAGAGCAGTCTGGGTCGAGTCGTGCTCAGTCTCGCAACTCGGCTTGCGACGCAGCGTTGCGACAGGGCTCGCAAGAGAGCTGGGGCAAATCGTGCCTCGAGGAGAGATGGAACGAGGAGGGGTCGTTCGAGTCGCAGAAGTCTGAGTTCAACCTGGGTCGGGGCTGGGTTTCAGCCGTGCTCCGGCTGGCGGAGCGTCGTGAGGAAACGAAACACCGATGCCGATAGCAGGTGTCGCTTCTCGCAGAACGAAGTTAAGTGCGAGTGAAGCTGGCAGCTGCACAAACAAGGGAAGCACGGAGCAGAGAGAGTGACGAGTGACGACAAGCAATCAACCTGTAAAAGGGCGGAGATCGCCAAGCGTCGACCAAGCGAGCAAAGCAGAGAGCGCGAAGCAGTGGAGGAAGCCTGGTCAAACGGCTGTGAGGAAGAGGACAGTGCCATCGAATGCGCCGTGTGCCTGAGGGCACACCGACCAACGACCAGTGTGAACACACAAGACGTCCAGAGCGACGGCGAGCATCGTGCCGACTCAACAATCAATCGAGCAGTGGAGAAGCCGGGGGCTGCCACCAAGAAAGCGCGAGCGCCACCGAGCGACACCCAGCGCCACCGAGCGACACCCAGCGACACCCAGCGCCACCGAGCGACACGAGCGACCGAGCATCTTCAAGGACAGCATCGTGCCAACTCGTCATCCAGCAGTGGAGAGAGAGAGAGCACAAGCAGAGACACGCAGGGGCTCGCGGCGGCCACGCCCAACCCAGAGAAAACTTCTGGCCGCTGTTTGTATCCTCCTACACCACACAAGCTAACGACACAATTAATATTACGAGGGGACAACGCACACACAGCACGCACACGAATAAGACTTTAAAAAAAATATTGTCTTTGCGTTTCAAAAAGGGTTGCCATTTCGAGGTGGTGCGTTCAATATCAACTGATCGTGCAAATCAGTTGCTGCCGTCGAGTTACATGAATAAAAAATGTTTAGTCATTCATATTAGGTAATCGCATAATATCGTAAATGCATAAGTGTTTATTCATTAATTTTAGTCAAATGCATAGTCTCGCAAATGCATAAGAGTTTATTCATTCATTTTAGTCAAATGCATAATCTCGTAATTGCATAAGAATTTTAGTTATTCATATTAATCGAATGCATAATATTGCAAATGCATAAGAGTTTGGTTATTCATGAATTATTGACGCATGTTTGACCTGCATGATAGAATATCACATGCTTGTTAGAATAAAATTGCTTAACACCAACTGTTCGAGTGCTTCTTTCCAAGTCCATGCAAAACTATCTTATTCATAAGAGCTGTTGCCTGTGATGAGATCTGAAACTGGAGACCTAAAATATCATAACACACACTAAGATAATCGGTAAACGTTTAATCGATGATAATCGTGTTATCCTGATTGATATAACTCTGGATAAACGAAGCTGAGCCTAATTATCACAACTGCTCACATTAACATAATCGCAAGCATCCGCATAAATTACTACGATTATCTCGGTGATTATCATAAATTATGCATATAATTACACACATTATCATAATTTATGCATGTTAATACACACACTATCATAATTAATGCGATTTGCGCATTTTTCGGAAAATTATTAATTTTTATTATTTTTATAAAAATTTCATAACCCAACACATACAACAGGATCGCTGTGTGAAACTATGATTATTTTCTCCTGTGTTATCGCATACTTTAAGTATCTATCTAGGACCCATATCTAATGGAGATGGTCTTAAACAATATCAGCATTGGTTCATGGCAAGCTGAGGAGACAGTGAATGTTGAAAGCAGTCCAGACGGTGCGTGTGTTGTGCCGATGCTGCTGAGAGAATGCATCCCCACAAATTGAAAGGTTAATACTTAAAAAATCGACCACAGAATAGTAGAAATGAAATTGGAGGTTACATATTTATTCATTAATGGGTGCGAAATCGGGTGTCACACCTTGTTTGGTATTAAACTAAACATTCAGAAGTGGGAGAAATGTCAACATTTGGGGAAATCTGGAGAAAACATCAGGAAGGGTCCAGGGTAAATTTGAAGAACACCGAGACTCAACAGACCCATTCTATACTCTTTGGTTCTTTCGGTAAAGTCACGTAGGTATAAAATAAAATAAATCACGACGTTTTGGGCGCAACACAAGCGTCCATCATCAGGTGGGAAAGCATGGTCTGCTGCTGAGGCAGACTGTTTTAAAAGGTTTGAAATGGGTGTAGCTCAAGGGTTATAAAGAAGTGGCCGGGACTAGTGATGTTAATGTGAGAAATTAGCATGTAACTGTAAGATAGGAGAGCGGCCTCTTCGACGAGGGCACGGAAGTGGCTATTTTATTTTATACCTACGTGGCTTTACCGAAAGAACCAAAGAGTATGGATTCCTGCAGTCACGAAAGCTTCAAATGAAGACCTATTCTATTCTATTTGCTTTTATTTCACCAGGTAAGACCCACCGAGCTATGTAACTATTGTTCAGAAGCGACCTGGCCCATCATAAATGACAGCTCAACGAAGTGGCTTTTCATCACGTGGAAATGCATAGCGTAGCCAAGACTGGTTCGGCCTAGGGGAGGTCCAAGACCGGTTCAGATAATTGTCACTGGTGTTGGCCGTGAGCGGGAATCGAACTCGGGCCACCGTGTTCATTGCACAGCGCACTAACCACGAGGCTACCGCTCCCCATCACTATTTCTATGTTACCAGGTAAGGTCCCACTGAGCTACGTCGCCATTTTTTAGAAGCGACCAGTCCACAAATGATAGCCCAACAAAGTGGCTTATTGTGTAGAAGTTTATACTCTAAACGCCGTGATGTTGATTCTAAATGTCGAGGAAAACCGGGAGGACCCAGATAAAACGCGACCACGAGAAGAGAGAGAAAGACACGTAAAGTACAAATATACAGCAGTCGACAGGGTCGGGATCAAACCTACGACCTCCTGCATACCAGGCGAGGTAGTTAACATCTCCTAGCTACCGTGGTGCCCAGCCCCCCCCCTCCCCATCCCACACGTCCCCAGTGCATGGTGGGGATAGTCGGGCCCAATTGAGAGTTGGCGCGGCCATCACGAACCCCTTGAGCCGCCCTTCCCCACGTGGCGATGGTGCCCAGCGGGGGGAGGGGGGGAGGGGAACCCCCTCCCCACCATCCCCACCCTCCGCCCCCCCCGCTCCCTCCCCACCTCACCTCCCAACCCCCTCCCTCCCCACCCCCTCCGCACCCTCCCTACCTCCCTCCCCATTCCCGACCTCCCTCCCCAACCCCCTACCTCCCAACCTACCCCCCCTCCCTCTCTCGTGATCCGTCCTCCCTCCCCACCCCCTTTCTCCCCACCTCCTCCTCCCTCCCTCCACACCTTCCTCCCTACCTCCCCTCCCTCCCCACCCACCCCTCCCTCCCCACCCTCCCCACCCCTCCCTCCCCACCCTCCCCACCCCCTCCCTCCCTCCCACCCTCCCCACCCACCCCTCCCCTCCCCACCCTCCCCACCCCTCCCTCCCCACCCTCCCCACCCCCTCCCTCCCTCCCCACCCCCTCCCTCCACACCTCCCTCCCTACCTCCCCTCCCTCCCCACCCTCGCCACCCCCCCTCCCTCCCCACCCACACCTCCCTCCCCACCTCCCCTACCTTCCTCCCCACCTCCCCTACCTCCCTCCCCATCTCCCCTCCCTCTCTACCCCCCTACCTACCCCCTCCCTCCCTCCCCACCTCCCTCCCTCCCACCCCCTCCATCCCTCCCCACCCCCCTCCATCCCTCCCCACCCCCTCCATCCCTCCCCACCATCCTCCCTCCCTCCCCACCCCCCTTTATCCCTCCCCACCCCCCTCCCTCCCCATCCCCCTCCCTCCCACCCTTCCCTCCCGCCCCAACCGCCCCTCGGGGTCTCTGACCTTTGTCCACGAGCTCCTTGACCTGCACGGCACAGCGCGGGTTCACGTCGGGCCCGGTGGCGTTCTGCAGGCTGCCCAGGTCGAAGTCGCACAGCGTGACCTGCAGGTAGGGCCGCATGCTGCACCCACACAGGCAAAGACAAAGATCCCACACCGTGAGGATTTAACAGACTGTGCCGTTAGCGAGCAGCACCTATGAAGGCCGGCACGGCACACGACGGGGTGGGTGGTCAGCACCACGCTCGGCCAGGCCGCATTTGGCTCCCTGGTGGTGATGGTTAAACATCGCAACAGGTACTCATTTGAGGCCGAGTCGACCTAGGGGAGCTCCAGGAACAGTTCAAATATTTGCCACCGTTATTGGATAAAATACACGCAAAGACACAAACAAGAAACACGTATAGAGATGAGACGCATTTGCTCAGAATATGGTCGGATCGTGTACAATGTAAATGTGTCGTAAACCCGCCTCCACGCGACACAGCCAATGTGAGTTTGACGCGTGGCGGTCGCCAGAATTTGCAATCGCCTGATGAGGCTGCTGGTTGTCATTGTTGTTGTAATCTCCAGCGCAACGTTGTGGCTTTACTTTCGACCACACAGCCGGTTGGAGCTGAAGTCGTAACTCATCGGCATGTTTTGATTGCAACGTGACAAACCTCACGAATTGGCCGTATCAGGAGGAGGTGGCTTCACGTCACATTTACGTGATCCAACCCAACAAACAAAAATTAACTTTGTTTTGGATAATATTGGTCGCGAAAGCCCACGTGTGAAGTACACACATTTGCATTGAGCAGAAACGAACACAGACACGTGGGGATACATATCGGCATCGAGACGCCACCCACCGCGTGAGTGGATAGGTGAGAGATGGGCGAGCTGGGTGGGTGGAAGGGTGTGTGAAGCTGGTGGATAAATGAGTGGGTACACAGGTTGATGGATGAGAGGGTGCATGTATGAGTGGGTGGGTGAGTGGTGTGGTGGGTGCGTGGGTGGATGCGTGAGTGGGTGGGTGCGTGAGTGGGTGGGTGGATGGGTGAGTGGGTGTGTGGGTGACGTCATAGACGCCTGTCCCCCCCGGGGCCTCCGGCACAAGCTTATTTATTGAATATTTTCGACGTTGTTTAGTGGTAATTAATTGAAGGTGGAGGGGTTACCAGCCCCTCGCACCCGTCCAGAGCCATGTCATGTAGGGGTCATGTAGCCCGCATGCCCAGCCAACGCATGCCTAAACAGCTTTTGTTCGGCCGGATCGAGGGGTCTAAACGGGCACGGCACGGGTTAGACAAGAGATGGAGTGATGTGGTACAGGAGGACGTGGAGCTGAGTGGACTTGCCGATGACTGGTACCAGCGGTGTCAAGATCGGCCTCTGTGGAGGAGGCTCGTGAACGACGCTACTGGGCAGTTGGAGGCAGTCGCCCTCCAGCAACAACGGAGGGCGGAGGAGCGACGCTCTCAACAACGAGCGGAGCGCCGGGTGACTAAAGTACAGCAAGTTGACACAGTAGGGGGCACAGGTGGTGCATCAGGCAGTCATCTCAGTCAGTCGACCTGTGACATCTGGGTCTGCCCTGTGACCTCCTGCCACCGGGCGTTCGACACTTCACGTGGCCTCAATGTGCACCTAGCCTGGCACAAGCGTCGTGATGACGTCACCGCTACTTTGTGGCGAATGGCGGTTGTTGTTGTGTGAGTGAGTGTGTGGGTGCGTGCGTGGGTGGGTGGTGCGTGAGTGGGTGGGTGCGAGAGTGAGTGGGTGGGTGCGAGAGTGGGTGGCTAGGTGCGTGAGTGGGTGGATGGATGCGTGAATTGGTGGGTGGATGCGTGAATTGGTGGGTGGATGCGTGAGTGGGTGGGTGGATGCGTGAGTGGGTGGGTAGATGCGTGAGTGGGTGGGTGAGTGGGTGAGTGAGTGGGTGGGTGAGTGAGTGAGTGAGTGGGTGGGTGGGTGAGTGAGTGAGTGGGTGGGTGAGTGAGTGAGTGGGTGGGTGGGTGGGTGAGTGAGTGGGTGGGTGGGTGAGTGGGTGGGTGGGTTTGGTGTGTTACCGGTTGGATGGGTTGTTAACAGGTGAGTGGTGGGTGGTTTGGGAGTGCAGTGATTTGCTGGCTGTGTGGATTGATGAGCTGGTGGAGGAAGGGCGGTGAATGTCGGGGCTGGGTTACCGGCTGGGCGAGTGCAGTGTCTGTGAGTGTTGGATTGCTAATTGCATTGTATGGCGAGCCGTGTGAGCGTGAGTATCATGGGTCGGTGAGTTATTAGTGAGTGTCTCGGGTTAGTGTCTGTTGAGTTGCTGGGTGGACGAGTTAGCGAGTCGGTATGTTTGTGGGTCCACGCCATGTGTCTGGCTGAACGTGTCGGTGATCTGATGGCGATGCGAGTCTGACAATTTTGAACTGGCCGGGCTGGCGAGTCGGTGGATGGCTCGGCATCGACGCGGCGGACGTTCGATTAAAGCTGCAAGCAACGACGCTCGTGAGCACAATAAGGAGGTGGTGGTGGATGTGGTGATGGGCGGAAGACGACAATGGACGGGCTACGGGACGTGCGAAACCCGAGCTGGCGGGGGGGGGGGGGGACTAGTATGGGTTTGAGGTTCGCGTCGCCTTCGGCGCTCACGGTCCATTCGGGTTTAGCCGCTTCGCGCAAACACCGCACTCTGCTCGCGACTGAAGCCGCCCACATTCTCGACCGGCCCAATATGAATGACAGCAATGAGGCTCCCTCCTGTCAAGTGGACAGCTGCGACAGCTTCACTGACGCTGCTGCGCGAGGCCACCGGCTCCAGAGCTGCACGCGGCGGGGGCTGCGAGCGATGCTGGACAGGAGTTTAGACTGGACGTCTGGGGGGGTGGGGGGCTTTATAGCTCATCGCATTCCTGCAGTATACACGCTCACGGCCGCCCTCGCCGCTCCACTCGCTCTCCACATTCGCTGTGGTGCCCCCGCGTGGCCGAGGGGGCCCCACGGGCCACCCGAGGCCCACCCATGGCCCACCCGTGGCCCACCCGTGGCCCACCCGTGGCCCACCCGTGGCCCACCCGTGGCCCACCCGAGCAGTGGCGGAGTTCCGAGTAGAGCCGATCGCTATGGCCGAGCGAGGGCCGTCCGAGGGAGACCGCAACCGTTTGCATGACGGTCACTCGAGGCCGGTTGAAGGCGTCTTGTGGGCCCCTGGCCACGTGTGTTTCTCGGGCGTTCAGTGATAAGTTTGACACGTCGTAGGATTTCGCGACCAATATTGTTCGTAATAAAGGTGTATTTTATTGGGGATAAGTCGCGTAAGTATGAATGTATCGTAACTCGCCACCACCCGACACGGCCAACCAGTAAGGACGTAATCGGCGGGTTACGTAATTGTCACGTTTTTCAGACGCTGTCTCCCCGACAGACCTGGTTTTCACCTGAGGACGGCTGCTTGCGTTGTGGTCGAAACGTCGTGAGAATTATTTTATTATGTTTTATATATTTATTTTATTACTTCCCTTCTACGTGACTTTACCGAAAGAACCAAGAAGATGTGACATTTTGTTTACGTGACAAATCTTACCGGTTGGCTGTGTCAGGTGGCGGCGGGTAAACGACACATTCATGCTTCAGTGACAACTGTCGACAGTTGTGACTGCTGCCCCATGTGCCCACGACCGCCCGCCGTGGTCATCCCGCTTGTTGTCACGCGGCACTTCGTCCAGGCGTGTGGACTCGTCTCCATTGAGAATGAGATTGTGCGGCGAACACCATTTGAACATGTTATTTCAAACAAAAAATTTGTAATGAAATAAAATCTCTCTCCTCATGAAAATAAAACCGGTTAACAGCTGTACAGCTGTACGCCTTTTGACGTCTTCTGTTCTAACACCATTCGAGACTCGGCTCGAAAGAAAGCTGTCTCTGGTGCAGACCAATCCGTTTCAAAGACAATGCATATGTTATCAGTGTTTTTTTGTTTGCATTCTGACCACAAGTACTGTATTGTGGTTAATACAGACGTGATTCCTTGTAAAAGGTTTCAGTTTGGTGTTTTAACATCTTAACACACCTGTTTTGTTGCCAGAAAAAAGGGGAAAGCCTCTTCTCATATCTTGGTTACATTTTTTTTTATCATACAAACAAACAAAAACGTGGTGAACTTTTCTTTTGCGTAGGCCCCTTTAGTTTCCGTCGGCCTGACGCAAGGTGCCTACTGTGGCCTGTTGGATACTGCGGCCCTGCGGTCACCGCATCGCGCGCGCTCAAGATGCGCTTCTGCAGCCGTCTGGAACGTTCTTCCTTCCAATACTAGGAAGCCACTGGGAGCTGTGCACTTTTAAATCATCATCTCGATTAACAAACTCATTTCAACACTTCTACATCAATTACGCACACGTCAATCACACACATCAATTACAGACACGTCAATTATACACACTTACATATCAATAACGCACACATCAATTACAGACACGCACACACTTAACATCAAATACACAGACACATCAATAACACACACACACTCATACATCAAACACACGCGTGGAAATGTGTTTTATTTTCTATATATTTTGCTGACACTAATTCTGATTGATGTGTATGCAGTCGTTTTGAATCCTTCCGTAACGCGGCTGGGTTATTTTCCTGCCATTTACATTTTCTTCATTGCTGTTACTTTGTGATCTTTGTAATTGTGGTGCACGCGGTCACCCTTGCCTAAAGGTGAGATAGACTACATCCACGACACACACACACACATTGCACGCACACGCGATACAAGCATCCCGCAATATAGCCGAGCTGACTTATGGGGCAAGTGCTGTTAGCGAGGACCTATGAAGGCCGGCACTGTGGCATACGAGGGGACGGGTGACCAGCATCACGCCCGGCTGCCTTTGTCTCCCCCGGTTGCGATGTTTACACATTGCACCAGGTACTCATTTGATGCTGAGTCGACCTAGGGGAGGCCCAGGACCGGCTCAGATAGTCGTGACCGGTGTTGGCTGTGAGAGCGGGAATCGAACTCGGTCCGCCGGGTTCGTAGCGCAGCGTAGCGCTAACCGCTACATTACCACTCCCCATCACCTAAAGGTTAATCTGCATGAACTAAACAAATACACAATTCAAAATAACATGGAAATGTACAGCAGCCAATACTCTAAGCGCGTGATGGCTGATTCTAAATGTGGAGGAAAAAACCGGAAGACCCGGAGAAAAAAATCCACGCGACAACGGCGAGAAAGAGACACCGCAAACTCCAAATATACAGCAGCAGGCGTCAGAGTCGGGATCGAACCCATGAACCCCCTGTGTATTTGGCGAAGTAGTTAACATCTCCTAGCAAATGGAACACATCAAAGGCACGCATGCACAAGTCCGCTTGGCACGCACACATACACACACACACGCCACATACAAACACACACGCGCGCACCCACAAACACGTACACACACGCGCGCGCGCACAAACAGTTATTGCAAGTAACAAGAATGAGTGGACTTCATGTTCTTGGTTCTTTCGGTCATGTCACGTAGATAGAAAATAAAAATAAAATAAAAAGCGAAAAACCACGTCGTGGATCGATCGAAACGTCGTGATTTTTTGCTTTTTTTTGCTTTTATTTTTAATTTTAAAAAATATATTATTATTTTTTTCTACGTGACTTTACCGAAAGAACGAAGAATATGGTTTCCTGCAGTCACGAAAGTTTTAAGTCATAATTTAATGAGTGGACTGTCTCTTGGTCACATTGCCATGCAAATATTTTAGTTTCGCTCAAATCCGAGCCGAACGAGACGTCAACTCGATTCAACCGCCTGTGGCCAAACCCGACAGAGGAGGTGCCAGGCCGCGCGTTCAGTGCCCCGTGAACGTCAACAGCGGTGGCGCCACGCTCTATCCACTGCTCCAGCGTTCTCTCTGCGTGTATCCCACCGACAGCCGACGTTCTCTTGGGAGTCAAGACGGCGAGAATCAGTGTGCCTGCCCGCTCGCGTCGGCCAATTGGCTTGCAGATCATCTCGATTGTGGATATTCCACGTTACTATGCCCGGAGCCCCGACGTGATGATGATGATGATGACGACGTTGACGGCCGTAGAGTCAACCGACAAGGAACTGCAATTGTGAATTTACAACGGCGGGTTTACTGCTCGGAACACAATTTTCACTGCCCGACCAACACTTCACCGAACTCAACAATAAGATTTGCACTGTGAACCTTTTGACACGAGACGCTCGCGCTCTACATTAGCCAACGATCACCCAACTACCCCGCCTGCAACCGCGTACAACTCATACAACCACAACTTGTGCCCAGCCAACATCGCACACAAGGGGGAAAACCCCAAGCACAACCGCACACAGTAGCGACGATTTTTGACTCCCGTAACAGAGTACGAACCTCAGTGGTGAGCCTTCACCGCTTAACGCGAGTCAAGAGTTCAACTCCCATACAGTCCGAGGCCCAATCAATTGGTAAAGCTCACAATGCACTGGCACCACCAGAGGAATGTGGAAGATCCACTGCTGGTAGCCATTGGACATGTCCACCGTTCCGATGCTCGTCTGAGCGGGGAAGAGGCTCCAGTTTCACGTTGATAAAAACGTCCCAAGAGCAGACCGCCAGCAAACCGCGACGGGATCCTTCCACAAACCTCGACCTGCCCGGACTCGGGCGCGCGGGAGTCGAACCCGGGCGGCTCCGTGGCCCTCACCTGCTCGGTGTGCGGCGCCGGTCGCGTGCCGAGTCGTGCCGCTCGCACCTGGGCGCCGTGCGGTGTGGCGGGCAGGCCGGGCAGGCTGGCGGTGGTGGTGGAGCGTGGCGGGGGAGAGGAGGAGGGGTGGGGGCAGGTCGCGCGTCTCCTTCACGATGCGCGCGCACCTCCTCCTCGCTCCCCCCCTCCCCCTCTGCCTCCCTACACCCTGCACGGTCCCCTTCATGCTCTCCTGCATCCCCCCCTCGAACTCCTCCCCCTCCCCTCGAGCTCCCCCCCTCCCCTCGAGTTCCCCCCCCCCTCGAGCTCCCCCTCTCGAGCCCCCCCCCCCTCGAGCCCCCCCCCCACCCCTCGAGCTCTCCCCCCACCCCTCGAGCTCCCCCCCCTCCCCACCCCGAGCCCCCCCCCTGCTTGACGCAGGCGTGCGGCACATCGCATCTCGCTGATTGGGATGGAGGGACAAAATGAACAATTTTACGCAGGCCTCGCACTAAACTATTTTTATTTTACCAATAAAGGTTTATCACGTGGACATTTGTAGCAGCCCAAACACTCTCGACGCGTGATGTTGATTCTAAAGGTGGTCAGAAAACCAGTGGACCCGGAGAAAAAAAAAATTCCACGCGACCACGAGAAGAGATAACAATGCAAAACTTCCATGATAGAGCAGGCGGCCAGGACTTGGATCGAACCCACCACGATCTTCCTGCATAGCAGACGAGGCAGGTCAAATTTCCCATCCCACAGGGGCTCTCTCTGTCACAATGGAACTGCGAGCACGCGGACCCGGCACTCTGGCCCCAGGACCGAGCATGGGACCGCTGGACAGGCCTTGACCTTAAGCACGTGCATTCTATACACACACACACGCGCTCTGAAGACAAAATATCCCCCGTGTAGTCTTAACAGACTTAACAGACTTGGGGAAAGTGCTGTGAAGGCCGACACGGCACACGAGGGGGTTGGTGGCCAACACCACGCCCGGCCGCCTTTGTCTCCCCAGTGGCGATGCTTACTACACACTGCACCAGGTACTCATTTGAGGCTGGCTCGATCTAGGACCGGTTTCTGAGAATCGTTACCGGTGTTGACTATGAGCAGGAATTAACACAACATCGAAATGCGCACACACTGAAGATGCACCAACTGTAGACGCAACACACACACCAACAACACACACACCAACAACAAACACCAACAACACACGCATCAACAACAAACACACCACACACACCACACACACACACCACACACACCACACACACACCACACACATACCACACACACACATACCACACACACACCACACACACACACACCACACACACACATCACACACACACACCACACACACATACCACACACACACACCACACACACACACCACACACACACACCACACACACACACCACACCACACACACACACACACACACACACCACACACATACCATACACACCACACGCACACACCACACACACACACACCACACACACACCCACACACACACACCACACACACACCACACACACACCACACACACACACCACACACACCACACACACACCACACACACACCACACACACACCACACACACACCACACACACACCACACACACACCACACACACACACACCACACACACACCACACACACACCACACACACACCACACACACACCACACCACACACACACACACCACACACACACACCACACACACACACACCACACCACACACACACACCACACACACACACACCACACCACACACACACACCACACACACACACACCACACACACACCACACACACACCACACACACACCACACACACACCACACACACACACCACACACACACCACACACACACCACACACACACACACACCACACACACACACACACACACACACACACACACACACCACACACACACACACACCACACACACCACACACCACACACACACACACACACACCACACACACACCACACACACACACACACACACACACACACCACACCACACACACACCACACACACACCACACACACACCACACACACACCACACACACACCACACACACACCACACACACACCACACACACACCACACACACACCACACACACACCACACACACACCACACACACACCACACACACACACACACACCACACACACACCACACACACACCACACACACACACACCACACACACACACCACACACACACACCACACACACACCACACACACACCACACACACACACACACACACACACACCACACACACACCACACACACACCACACACACACCACACACACACCACACACACACCACACACACACCACACACACACCACACACACACCACACACACACCACACACACACCACACACACACCACACACACACCACACACACACCACACACACACACCAACAACACACGATCCAAGCGCACGTCGCGGTATCTAGTGACGCGGCTCCCGGCGGCAAAGTTTGGGTCACAAGGAAACGACAAAAGGAGAATCACTGAGAGAGATGTCGCCCTCAGTGAGCGCCCTGCGCGGGGCGGCAGCCCTGGGCCCCCGCGTCTGGGGGGCGGCAGCCCAGGGCCCCCGCGTCTGGGTGGCGGCAGCCCAGGGCCCCCGCGTCTGGGGGGCGGCAGCCCAGGGCCCCCGCGTCTGGGGGGCGGCAGCCCAGGGCCCCCGCGTCTGGGGGGCGGCAGCCCAGGGCCCCCGTGTCTGGGGGGCGGCAGCCCAGGGCCCCCGCGTCTGGGGGGCGGCTGCCCAGGGCGCCCGCGTCTGGGGGGCGGCTGCTGCCATGGCCCTCGCTGGACCCAGCACTCGCATCACTCACCAAGCGACCATTCCGGTTTTTTCCGAATGATTTTTTTTTACTTTACAAAACAGAGACATTCCAACTGTCGAGAAGTGATTGCCATTCACGTTACTTCCCCTTCCGCAGCTATGCGCTCACCAACTTTGTGCTCACCTATACACGCATCTATGTGTTCACCAACCATGCTCTCACCTGTGCAATTGACGAGCGCCCTGGTACCGTGTGCTACACTGGTGCTAACAATCACCACGAGTCCCCATGTCAATGTTTATGTAGCTTAATGTGACTCTGAACGAGTTTTTAAAATACATTTTTCAGAGCAAAACTTTGCGATAGAGAAATAAAACAACGCTGCGTTTAACACGCATTCCTTTGGGAAGTTTTTTTTATTTCCTTTGTAATTATGCCGTTGGTTTTTTTCGTCCAGATTTGCTTCATTGCCCGTGTGTCTATTTACTCTCCATGGCATCGAGTTCGTTATTTTTTTGTGACTCCGAGGGTCACTCGTGCCACTAAACTCGTCCTGATCTCCCGAGCTCGCTGTCGCCTGGCTACACGAAATCAACGTCACGCCATCGATCATGATGACATCGATCTTGACCGATCGCTTGGAAAGCATCATGGGGGTTAACAGGAACTGCTCTCCGTTGGTTCAGATCTTCTCTAGCTAATCGGGAACGGTTCGTATCCGTGGGAGATTTTAGATCTGCTCCCAAGCCCTGTTTCATTCTGGGGTTCCTCAGGGTTCAGTTTCTGCACTCTTCTCTGTTGTATTTATATGGCTCTAATGGGTCATTTGCTCCGAAATCTCAGCTTAGAGTCCCATTGCTATACAGACGACACTGACATTTACTTGCATGTTGAGTCCGATATCCTTTCATCCCTTCGTCTGCCCTCCATGCTTACTTCGGCGCTGGCTTCCATCAAGAGTTGAATGCAACAAAACGTCCTTCAATAGAACGATGTTAAAACGAGGTGTTGCTCATTGGGTCACCCCACCAACTTCATAAAGCAGCAACCTTCAACATTACGACTGACTGTCATGTAATCAGTCCAGCACAGGAAGTCACAAATCTCGGGGTCATCTGCGATCCCACATTGTCCTTCAAGGCTCATATTACAAAGATCACAAGGACTCAATTTTTCCATCTTCGAAATATTTCCCGCATCCGATCCTCTTCTCTCTGCCTCAGATGTAGAAAAGCTGGTCCATGCCTTCATCTCATCTCGCATAGACGATGGTAATGTCTTACTCCCTCACGTGGCTAAGAAAGTGCCGATTAATTTGCATGTTCAGAACCCGTTCGTCATATCATATTACACCCGTTTGGCCTCCCTGCAGTGGCTTCCAGTTTCACATAGAATCCAGTTTCACATAGAATCCAGTTTCACATAGAATCCAGTTTCACATAGAATCCAGTTTCACATAGAATCCAGTTTCACATCATATGGTGAACTTACAAAGTAGTGAACCGCCATGCCCCAGCCTACATCATTGACATGCTGCACCCACGTGTCCTCTCAAGGTCCCTAAGACCTGGGCATGATGCAGATCTTCTCTCTGTATCCCCAGGCCAGGCTTGCGGTCTCTGGGTGACAGGGATGTTCCCCGTGCAGCTCCCAGGCTGTGGGACGCTCAAGGATCTCTCTTAAATGCGCTTTAAAAGCTATTTATACGTTTCCGCTTATTACACTTTTAGTTCAGTTAGTAAATGATTCTTAAATGTATTTATAATATAATTATTTTTAGTCTGAGTGTCTGCTGCGTCTTGCGCAGCGCTTTGAGATGCTTGATGAAAGCGATATGTAAATGTCATTATTATCACTCGGCACCCCTCACCCTGTGCGCTAAGCCGTGAACTCGCACACGGACCTTTGCATCTTACCGGTGTGCTCACCTGTGCACTCTTTGGTGAGCTCGCCAGTGGCAACCACCTGCCTCGGCACCCCACCGCGCGTGTAACTGCAGGTGTAATGAGCGCCGTGTTGAAGTCACCTGCCGAGTGAACTTCATTAATAACCGCATGTATATTCACCTACGCGTGATCACAGCTCCGTATGTATGTTTAATTTATTTCGCACCGTACGTAGTAGCCAACCGTGCTAATCGGAGGTGCGGTGAAAGGTCAACAAACGAAACACAAAAATCACCTCTAATGAAAGTAGTTTTCCATGTGGATGATTTAAAAATGCATCGCTCCAGTGGCTTCCTAATATCGAAAGGAAGAGCGTTCCAGACGGCCGCAGAAGGGCAGGAGCAGCGGCGCCATCAATAGCAAGCGTAGGCAGCTGCATCAGCAGATGGTATCATTAAT